TTATCTTTTGGCAGTAGAGGGAGGTGTATGTGGGAAGTTTAACCTGAGCAATTGCTGTCTTCAAATAGATGACGCAGGGCAAGCAATAGCTGAGCTTACTAGCCATATGGTTAAACTAGCGCATGTGCCTACTCAGGTATGGAAAGGGTACAATCCAAGTAGTTGGTTTGGTAGCTGGTATGAGTGGTTTGGAGGGCTTATGGCAGTGGTAGGTGGAGTCCTACTGATTTTAATGTTGTGTCTACTCCTGCCGTGTCTTATACCCTTAGTAGTTAGGTCTGTGCAAAGCCTGATAGAAAATATAGCAGAGAGGAAGGCTGCTGCACAGATAATGGCAAATTATAAATATAAGGCTCTAGATCAGGGAGAACCAATGCAGGAAGACGAGTGTTGAAGATTCACATCGTAGGATAAGTCTGGTCTGGTTCAAAGGTAACTTGTGGTGTATCCAAACCAAGGTTAAGTGATGCCTCAAGTAATTGTAAAATATCAAGAGGCATCAAAGGGGGGAATGTGGTGGAATCTCGGTAAAAATCAATTTAGTAGGCCGAGATTACCACGTGGCATGTGTACGTGCATATGCTGACGTATCGATCAGTTGGTTGCACGAGGCAAGATACGATCAGTAGTGTACGCAGCATGTGCAAGAATACAGGATGTAGTATTCCCCTCCTCCATTGTGCTGGACAAGCCATGCGGTCAAGCAGGAAGTTAATTCTTATTTGTAATGATTGGTCAAGAGAATGTGCGGGTGGAGCTTAATATGGGAGGAGTTATGGGCCTATATAGGGAGCCTGCACTATTGTTCAGGGCTCAGAACTTGCTGTATTTTTGGTGACATTAGTCCCTCTGAGTCCCGATCGGTGATCCAATAAAGAATCTCTTCCTTCCTGAAGAAACCTGTGTCCATCCCTCTGTGCTTTGCTTCCGTCAGTTTCTCCGGTATCAGTGGTTCTGGTGACTATAGTGTCCCTTTAAGAATTCTATTTTTGTCGCTAAAAATGAAGCTTTGTTAGTTTAAAAAAAAATACTTTTAAAAACGTTTTTTTAAATGGCTCCTAGATTCCAAGCAAATTTGTCAAGCTCTGGTGTATTTGCAAGTTATTCAGTGTAGCTGTGCGTCAGGGTGTGTAGCTGTGCGTCAGGATTAGGGATAGACCGATTAGCAGTGCAAATATTCCAGGTTTTGGCAAATATCAGTATTGGCCACTATTTATACCGATATTGCCAATAATGTGAGAGGTGGAATAGCCCAGCAGGCGCAGGGCAGGTGCTTCCATAAGGCGGCACAGGCGGTCGCCTTAGGGCGCACCGACTATGTGGGCATAATAATCGAGTGACTGGCAGGAGGGAAGCCAGAGGTTCCCTCCTAACAGTCACTCATTGTAGAGTGGTCGAGGGTAGGAGATGGGAACATGGTACAGGAGCTTCAGTTTCCTGTACCTGGCCGGACTGACAAGAAGGGCTCTCTCAGTGAGGTGAGGGGAGAGGAACTGCAAGGGACAAGAGACATGGAGGGGAGGGGAGAGGAACTGCAAGGGACAGGGAGGGGAATGGTACACTAAGGAACAGGGAGGGGAGAGGTACACTAAGGGACGGGGAGGAACCCTAAATATTCTTGAAAACATAAAAACATCTGACTGGCATGTATACTTTGTGCATTTATCCCTAGTCAGGATATGTATCTATGTGTCAATGTCTGTATCTTCGTGTGTGCCAAGGTATGTATCTATGTGTCAGGGTATGCATCCTCAAGTGTGTCAGTGTGTGTATCTCTGTGTATTTGCATCCTCATTTGTGTCAGCGGGTGTATCTCTGTATTTGCATGTGTGTCAGGGTGTGTATTGGTGTGTGTGTGTGGATCTCTGTGCCAGAGTATCTCTGTGCCAGTCAGGGTATGCATCTGCCTATTGTAGATCATTACAGAGCAAGTCACTGCAGTATATTCAATTCTGTCCGTAGTGGTGCAGAAAACACAGCTTTTGTGTTTAGTTGTAATTTAAAATTAAAAAAAAAAAAAAAGTATTCAATAGATCTGGCATGTCAACGCACAAAAGATTTTATTTAGTACTAAAAGAAAAATTAAAATTACATATACGCAAAAATTAAAAAATAAAAAAATAAAAAAAACCATACCAGCCTGTGAAACTAATATCCGTACAAAGATAAAGCCACTTGGAAGAGTTATTAATATCCTCAAAATGATAATAGAAAGCATAGCACAAGACATGTACAAGTCTGCAATGCAGGATAAATAGATTGAAGATTTAAATAAGGTCTTCTTTTATGGATAGGCTTCCCAGAAATGACTGCACACAGGCGAAATGCTAACAAAGGATCTGATAACCAGTGGAACCAGTTAAATAACCGGGTAAGAAAATCCTCTGCCTGTTCATTTACTCACAGAAAAATGCTTATAAAACAAGAAACTAATGAAACAGGAAAAACAAAGCAAGTGATCTGTCAGATGGTCCACTGTATTTCCTAATAAATAACTTGCCTACCCACTTCGCCACCCATACTCCTATTTTTACTAATTACTACAGTCAACTAATTTCTCTTCTTATGAACAGGGCAGGTAAACTGCGGTTTGATGGAGCATTCACAGGAAGAAGGTACTCATGCTCTGGCACAAAGAGAGGGAAACAGAACAATTACAGAAGTAAAACAAAAGGGTTGTGCACAGGCTCGGAATTAAGACTGCACAGTCAAGAAGACAGACATGTCGGATTCCCACACAGGTGTCCAACCTACCACAACAAGTCCAATGTTCCCAGTAGGTGGGCTAATTCCAGAGTACTCAGCAGAAGGATTCAATCCCCAGTTTGAGTTATGCCCAGTTGCCTGTGGCACAGTTTGTCCAAGTTTATAGTTTTCATGAATGGTATCACCTGTCAGTTTTCTGGTTCTTGAAGATGGTGCTTTAGTCTGGTCAATAATCAGATGGAGGGATTCATGGAGGCCTATTAAGTCTAACTTCTGGCCACAGGTTTTTTGAACCCTGACAGGTGGCCTGGAGACCAAATATTTTTCTAGGTCATTCAAACCACGATTACGGACTTTGGCAATAGAGTTGGGATGCGAAATGGAAGAAGAACTATCTGAATATTTCCTGTGCTGACTAAATTCTAAACATACACGACATTCCTTTAACCTTGACTGCATGGACTTTGTGAAGCATACAGAACCAGCCAATGGTTCAATTTGCGTTTCTGATTTCCTGTATTTTTGGACCAGTATTTTTTCCATAGATATAGGTGAAGTCAAGCTTTTCAATGTACTGGTAGCAACAGTGGAATCACTATGTCGACGAGAAGTGCAATAAGGAGATGGAGGAACAGCGAGTAATAAACTTTTACCAACTGGTGCACTTTTGTCAAAATTTGAAGAACTGGTCGAATTCTGCAGTGCACTGCTTGTTAACTTGTGGGACTTTTGAGCTAGAGAAGGAGTATAAATGTGTGCATTAGAATCTAGAATACTATGCGAAGTATTAAGACATTCCAATAAAGGGTCAGAATATCTGACAGCATCAGAGGAACTGCACCTACGACTCGTGGTGTAAGCCCCGCTGGGGACAGAAAGGAAATCTCTTAAAGTGTCTGTAGAACAGCGAGTGGAAACACCGGACCCAAAAAGATCTTGAACAAATGTAGGAACAGTAAATATCTAAATGGCCACCATATAAAATGAAGAAAAAAAAAAAAGAAAAAGATTAAATTAAATTCAAAAACATGCAAAATGAATGGGCAGTATTTAAAAATAAGAAATTATAGAAAAGATGACATTGTGAAATAATAAATAACGGCTATTAATGGCATGACCTGGTTTCAAACTTACAGTTGGCGTCTGAAGGTATTGTGCCAGGTGGTGCTGGGGGCTGTGGGACATCATCTGGCCTTCCAGGATTGGTGGGCTGTAAACCCGCTGAACTGCAGGCGGAAGTGATTCTGGCAGAGAGGAATAAATCACGCTTTGCTGGCTGCTCTGTGAATCTGAATACACAGTGGACCCTTGACCACTGTCAAATGTGCTGTCCGCTGCCAAAAAATAGATTAGGATCATTTATCATGCAAGACAGTGTAGGTCAATCACATTTTCCAATCAAGTATGGATGTAGTCAGAAATGCATATATATTTCAAATCACTGTCAGAAAAATAAAAAACCTTCCAAAAAACCTGCTCATGTACATTAACTTTTACTTCAATGGTTTACTTCAACGTCCTTATGATCTTGTGATGTTCTTCCCTTTCATAGGAATTTTTGCTTGCAATTTATTTTTAACCATTTTAGTGCCAGAGTAGCAAACAAATTAAAGATTACCAAGCATATCTGCTATAGCTACAAATATCGTTATAGTTTAATGACTCCCATGGGCAAATCTGATTTTGTTGCCTCTCACTTAAAAAAGGAATGTCGGGGCGGGGCCTGACAGCCGAGCTGGCAAGACGTGTGCACAGCGAGCTCCGACACAAACATGCTCAATACTGGCTAATATTGGCCAAAATCTTGATTATAACTGTGCTGCTCGCTGCTAACCCATAGCTGGATCGCGTGGGGACTTGTGGACACCCATTTTGAGCACCTCTGACAGGAAAAACCACGCTCCACTGATGCGGCCTAGCAAAGAAAGCGGCCTAGTGGTTGGGAGAGGCGGCCGATCTCCCGCCATGGGCACCGCTATAAGCAACAGCTCTCCTGGAGTCCTGCATCCCCCCCCTCTGGACCGGTGGGGGTCATCCCGGTCCCCACTGGGGAATCTCACAAACTTACCACTAGAGGCTGGTCCGCTGGAGCGGAGGCCGCAATTCGGGCCCAAAATGGCCGCCGAGCAACAACCTCTGCAGCGTCAAACAAGCCCCACGGTCCAGACCTGGAGAAAGCACTTTGAGGCTCGCTTTGACCAAATATGCCAGGAATTCTGGCAGCGTGTGGAGCTCAAAGCCACCCACCCTGCTCTACCTGTTACGAAGGGGAGGGAGACCGCGGCGGCAACTTACTCGTCCAGCGCCCACACAAAGATGTGCCCATCTTGCCCGACGGACTCTCCCGACGCCAAGCCGCTCAGCTGCACACCAACATCGACCATCCACCCCACGACCTCGCTGCAGCCTCTCCGCACGTCATTCAGAAGTAACACACACACCCGCACACCACTCCGCAGGAGAGCGCACGTATGGCAAAGCAGACACAGAGCACAGCAGAGGCCCAGAAGACAGGATCCGACAAGACTGGGTGACATTTCACCTGCCGCGGACCAAGAACATAAGGGCACCTGGGACCGGAGCGATCCTCACCTGCAAAGTGGCGAACCCTTGGTCCCAGGGGGTGACAGCCTGCCAACAGCAGGCATCGGTTAAATAACCCCAGGCAGAGACAACCCCCAACGTTGAGCAGACCCCCACCTGCTACCAGGGGACGAGAAAAAATAACCCCAATGGCTCAACCCTCATCCTTCCTCTGCATGCTCCCTGATAGAAGTGCTACCCCAGGGTCAGGTTACTGGACTTGTTAATCTTGTCTTTTAATATTTAGTCCTTAGCAGCCACACAAGTAATACTACCAGCCCAGGATTGCACCTAATCCCAGTGGGCATTGTGCTCTTATTCTCATTTTTATTTCATTCTCACTTTTATTTCACTCTCATTTTCGCTACAATATGTGAACAAACTAGTTGCGCTAATCTAACATGTTACCCACAGCCCATAACCAGCTAAAACTATGCCTAGCAATTACTTCTGTATGAAAACATATTATCTTCTCATAGTCTGAAATAAGTACCCAGTGGCTCCCACACTCAAAAGTTAATCGCTGTTTTGCATGTTATAAAACCATCTCTTATATGACAAAGTTAATGTCTGCATACACTACTCCTAAACACGCTTAAAGCAAAGCCTTTCTCTGACACTACTTGTATTAACCTGTGAATCGTATTTTAATATACTTAACTACCCTAGCATGTTATATTACATAAGCATTGTTTATTAGCCTGTTATTTTCATGATCATATAAAAATGTGCTGATCGGGGCGGGGCCTGACCATCATGGCGGAGAGTCGTGTTTTCCATGAGCTCCCACAAAATCCTGACAAAACAAGCGAAAATCTGCTCACCCAAGCGACACAAACTGCATTTCTAGGCACCCACATGCCACCCACGATGGAGGGCACACAATGGGCTCTTAGGCGACTTGATTGGGGCCAGATGAAATCACGACCGACACTGCGGCCTGGTCTGCATTGGGCGAGGGAGGCGGCCGCTCCCCTGTCCTGGAGGCACCCTGAAACTGCCCACCGCACAAGCAAGCCCTGCTACCCCCCCCTCGGACCGGCGGGGGTGATCCCGGTCCACCCTGGGGTGGCGACCCTGAGCATGATGAGAAGGGGAACGACGCCAAAGACAGTAAACGGAGACCTCCTTAAGATGGCGGACACAACATGTGCTTACAACCCCAGCAACACCTCACATGATGTCCTCACTCGAATAAACAACCACTTCGAGGCATTCTGGAGGAAGCTGGTGGGTAAGCTAATCCAACCTGCATCACCACGACCACCCACTTCTACAAGGCGAGCATCACTCACCCACTCCCATCAAGCGAACCGGCATCCGCGCAGCCGCCAAACGCCCTCACTCACCCAAGCAGGGCGCCAATGTAAGCCTGCCTTCCCGCCCCACCATCGATCCGAAAGACCGACACCGTGCTCCACACAGTCGGAAGAGGCACATAATGCAGCGACACCTACAGACACGAAGAGGACCCTCTGGGCCTAGACCGGCTCATGGTCTGTGCTACTCGACGGCAGACAGGGCACGGAAGTGCGGAGAACCTCAGAGCATGAGGCACACGGGCAAGCAGAAGGGTTCCCAGATGGGACTCATCTCACCTCAGAAGGGAGTGACACTAGACCGGGAGTGGAGACGGCGAGACACAGGGCCCAACATGGCGGCAACACCAGGTCAGCCCAACAACGTCCCACGACCACAACACGGGGCGCCCCCTGAGCACAAGCTGCGACCAAGACCAAGACTCACAAAGGCACCAGAGTGGGACTGTGGCATACCTCTTGCGGGGGTTGGCTGACCGGGACTCTTAATATTACAGATGAGTCAATCACTCCATGCCTCATGTAGTCTCTATTTGCAAATGTTGAAGTTTTTATTGTTTTTCATTGACATTTGGTGTTACTCTTATACTTTTATGTTATGTTTTACAATTAACTGTTTAGGCCACTTCTCCATGCTAGCGATGAGGGCACACCTCACTGAGGACACCAATACTGGGGCCCTCCCTCCTAGTGGTAATCTCTCTACCCCTTAGCTACGCCAACCAGCGGTCCTTTGCAGCGGTTATTTTGGTGGCAATCCAAGAGCTGCGCTGGCACCTGAAAACACAATACATTTTACTAAACTTGAACACGCCAACTAACCCACTGTAATGATTCAGCCTTAACTAACAACACTAGCTTAACCATCTACCAAACAGGTAGCAAAGCACACCTTTTTCATATGCTGTAGGGCTATGTGTAACAACGTTGAAATGAACCATAACTCAACCTACATAACCCACCATAGCAGCTTCAGACTTAGCCTGTTTTTATACTCAGTATTAACTAAAAATGTGCAACGTTAATAAGCCATACAACTGTTTTTTCTATGTCTATGTCTAGCCTGCACCGGCTGTCGTGGCTATGCAAGCATACATGTATACTATATGCATTACTAAAATAAAGAATTAAAAAAAAAAAAAAAAAAAATTTGCTGATCAAACTGCCACACTTGGAAATGTATTGAAACCGCCTGTAGACGCTGTTATGGCTCTGCACGCTTGTTGTCATCACATGCACAAGAAAAATAAAGAATTGAAAAAAAAAAAAAGGAATGTCCACAGAAAACAAAAATGCAAAAAGAAATTGAATGGATATTAACAAAAGTGGAACGGGGGGGCGGGGCCGGACCGCCATGCTAACCGGTCGCATGCAGGAGAGGCTCTGGGGAAACCCGGCCTTTTAAGCTATTTACAGCGGAACTTCACACACAAAACGGGCCAAAAGACACCCACAGCTGTGGGAGCAGCGGCAGACCCCGAGATCGGGAGTTCTGATCCTCTGAAGGGGTCACGGAGCTTCGAGGGCTGCGGCCTACCCGGGAGGGGAGCGTGGTGGACGGCCGCCGCTGCATCTCCCTCCCCTGCTGCCACAAGCTGACTGCCTGAGTTGCTTGCCGGCCCTGTTTCCCCCCCCTTTGGACCGGGGGGGGTCATCCCGGTCCCCACTGAGGAGAGCCTGAGACGGGCGGCTGCTGAGGGGAGACTCTCTAACTGCCTCACAAAATGGCGGCGGCAGACAGCTGAACATTATCTGCTCCTGCACCACGGAGCCCCTTTTAAACCACGGTTCCTTCATCTGCCCTGCCGGAGGGCTTCAAGTAAAAGAATACCGCAGACATGATCACCGCGATCTGGGAGAATGAGAGACCCCGGGCCCGCAATGGATATCCCCAGGTGGGGCCAAGTGCAAAAGGCGCGAAATGAAAGTGTGCTGCAGCGTGTAACGGCCAAACGGACCTACACAAGCCTGATATGGGGAGACTTACCACACACAGAAGAGCACTGGTGAAGCTGAACTGCCATGGTGAGGGATCAGTGTCCGAAGGGAAGGAGTCACACATGCCAGCACAGAGACTCTAACACCACCACAGGACACTGACTAAATAAGAGAAGCTGCAGTTTTACATCAGCTACCTATATACCTCTTGTCACCTAAAAAGTGTTCTATCATATACCATAGCCATACAATTATACTACTATGTCTATTATTAATACCTAATAATATAGGAATACACTCAGCCCCGGTGGCAGCCCGCCTACCTACTCTGGCAGTGGTAAAATCGAAGTTTAACCGTGTAACTTTCTTGAAAGCCCACATTTACTTAAGCTACAATTTACATCTACTAGCATAAACATGTAGATCCCATCGTGACCCATTGCGTTAGCTATAATAACTAAGCCTGCGTATAACTTACCATCTGTAACCTGCCCTACGTTAGTTTCTGTAGGAGTGCACAGAGCTTGTAACCTGAAGCGATTAAGCTATAATTGCCCTATAACCTGATTGATGAGCCAGCTTTTAGTTCAGATGCATACTTTGCAATTGTTCTTGTTGAGGGAAGGTCTGTAACTCTTTGTCTAGCAAAGTAATCTATGCACTAACATACTTGTTTTATATAGCGGGTTAATTTTACATGAAAAATAACAAAATTTGTGCTGTTTTAACTGCATGCCAAAGCAACCTGATGTTCAAAATACGCCTGCAGTCGCTGTTGTGGCACTGCAAGAATTCTTGTTGACTTTAACGCTAAAACGTATAACCGTAACTCATTATATCTTGCATCTAATAACTAGTGTAACTATCTTTGCAACCATCTACTTTTAAACGTATGCCAATCTAGTATTGTTTCACGCAACTTGTTGTCTAGTCTAGACTTAACTATATAACTTGAAATACTACAGTCAGCAATGTAAAAAAAATAAAAAAAATTTCAACTGTCCTAGAGCAGCTAGAGAAGCCAGTGACTAGACCAAAAGCTCTACAAAGCTTAGAACGCACTGTGCCGCCGAGATTTCGTAAGACCTACCCAGGCCCACTTGTTAACTGAATACTCAGCGTAAAGCTTAAACGTGGACAATCTCTACTAAATATCAAAAAAACGTGCAAGGATTTATGAAAACCCCATTGTTAAAAATGTTGATATTCAGCGTGAGGAATGCTATTGGGGCACCACACGCCTGCTGTTATGACTTATTTTGTTTTGCACTGCAAAAATAAAGAATTTAAAAAAAAACAAAAAAACAAAAAACAAACAAACAAAAGTGGAACGGCTCAAATTTTAAACCAATATTAACCCCGTCACAGTTAAAAAGCAAATACATACTTAGATAATTTGGCACTCCGTAGATCCATACACATTAAAACTCCTTTTAAGTTGCTTTAATATGGTATATGTCATGTAACCGTTCTAGACAATATTCTGAGACAGCAGTTCAGAAAGTATGAAAGCAATATTAATTACCATGTCTTTTATTCCAAAGCGAACAACAATATTCCAGCCTTTTAACATTGTTTGTCATGGTTAATGTAGGCTTGCACACATAATTAACTTGAACATGACAGTTTCCTATGCAGGAAGCAACTATATCACAGCAGAGCTTACATCACTGCCTACACTGCAAGCCAGAGGTCAGACAAATACAACAGAAAAAAAACCTAAACAAACTATTCAATTTTATATAACTACTTCTCACTGATGTAACCTATATTTAAATGTGATTTGATACCGGGCATTATGCTTATCTGAAAAATAACTCAACAATGAAAGAAATTTATACTTTGCAGTTTTTATTTATTTTTTTATAGATATCTCCCCCCCCCCCCCTGAAATGCATAATAGAATATACACAGAGTTTTAGTGTTTTGTCATAGGGTTAGTAATTCCTCCCCCGTCTCTGGCATTAAACGTCCTAGCAGAGGTATAGCATTTTCCTATACAAAGATGTTCAACCATGCGCAACAGCTATCAAGCCCATTCCATTCACTCGGAGATAAAAAAAAAAAAAAACGGAAAAAACCCCCAAAACTTTTGTTTATTAACAAATGTACTATAAAGCAGTATTACTTTATCTCAGCTGGCCAATGTGTAGAATTATTTGCATGTTGCAAATGGTTTCTAAAACAAAATCTTAAAAGTGAATAGTTTGATAATTATATATCAGTATAATATATATGTATATATGTGTGTGTAAAGTTTATTTATTTCATACTTTTTACAGTTCACTAGTTATCCAGCTCCACACTAATAATTCCATAGCATTTAGAGGTAGATTGAGAATAATACGAGTTCAAATCCAAGCTGTTAAATTTAAAACAGAGAAAGGAGAGAGACTTACATGCCACGGATGTGATGCTGGCAGGTAACTTTGGGTGAAATGTGCGCTGGTCCGGATCTAGTTCCTCTTGCTCTGGGCAGATTAGTTGGCCTGTGTGGGATGAGCGTACAGGTGGAGCGACAGAGGTTTGTGGCAACTGCGGCTGCTCCAGCCCCTCTCTCTGCCCACCCTCTGGCCACATTCGCTCTCTCCTCCATTGGATTAATGCAACTCTATCACGTATGGACTTGGCAACAATTTTCACATCGTTTTCGTGGAAAAATCCAGACTCCACCTACAGAAAAACACTTGTCACCTCTTGATTTATTTATTTTTACATTCTATAAAAAGTACCAGTTCAGTGCACAATAGAACCTCATCTTTATTGAGTAGAAGAAGTAGAATGACTATAATTAAAACATTAGTTCACCTTACATACTAAAGCCTGCAATGTTAGATTATTGGATGCAGCTAGGAGGCTTAGTATAAATAAACTCAACTTTTTTGTTTTGATGTAGCATTTGAGCTATTCATGTAGACATCACTGCCCCTTCAATGACCTAGGTACACCAGGTGGCACATTATTCACAGACTGCCACACACCCTCATAAGTGATTCTTCATCTTCCAGGTAGAGGAGGTTGTATGGAAAACCTACAATAAAATCTGGGGCAGTGCAGCAAGTGGCAAAATTTAATTTATTTTCATTGCAATGGTTTTACTTTTGGTTGAAACTGCTCCTTACATGGGACGATCACTGTTTGAAATGAGTTATTAAAGATACACTAGTTACCAGAGCTACTACAGCTTAATGTAGTGGTTCTGGTGTCTATAGCATAGCCCTGCAGGGTTTCCATTCCAGAGAAAAGGTAGTGTTTTATGTTGCTGCCTAGTAACACCTCTAGTGAGTCACTCAGACAGAAACTAGAGGTGCTTCCAAGTTCAGTGCTGCATTGTTGGCAGCAACTACATTCAGCGTCTCCACACTCTGCATGAAGACTCTGGACACTTGGCATAGAGATGCACTGACTCAATGCATCTCCATGAGCAGATGCGGATTGGCGCAGCGTGGCATTTTGCAGCGCATGAGTAATAGCCTCCCAATGCTTTCCTATGGAAAAACATTGGATTGGCTGAAGTTATAAAGATTGATGATCTCAGCCATAGAGCTGCAGCAAGACAAGCACGGCGATGGAGAAAAGGTGAGTAAAGCTATCTTAACTCCTTACTGTGGGGGGCTTAGAACCTAAACTGGTACTCCAGCACTATAGCGTTAGGAATACACGTTTGTATTCCTAATACTATTGTGTTCCTTTAACCATCATGCACTTTTTCTTTCTTGGTTATATATGGATACACAGAATTAACAGGTTATGATTAGTGTGTGAACAGATATTCACCTTATAATCACCTGTTTGATTCTAGTAAATAAGTGAATGAAGACACTTTGAAAAGCTGAAAACGGTTACAAAAGGTAATTTCAAAAAATTCAGCCCATTAATATTAAAGGACCACTATAGGCACCCACACCACTTCAGCTCAATGAAGTGGTCTGGGTGCCAGGTTCCCCCAGTTTTAACCCTGCAGGTGAAAACATAGTTTCAGAGAAACTGCTATGCTTACACTCAGGGGTAATCCAGCCTCTAGTGCCTGTCTCCCTGACAATCACTAGAGGCCGCTTCCGTGATTTACACAGAGTAAATGGCACTTATTTGACATCCTCACGGAGTCCAGCGTCAAATAAGATCCCCATAGGAAAGCATTGACTAATGCTTTCCTATGAGCAGGTTTGAATGTGCATTCGGCTCCACTCAGGAGCAGATGTCGGCGGGGGAGAAGAGGTCACCAGCGCTGAGGGAGGGGTTTTTTAAACCCTTCAGCGCCGAGGGAGGGGGGCTTTCCAAGAGCCTATAGTGCCAGGAAATTTGGTTTGTTTTCCTGGCACTATAGAATCCTTTAAAGCTGCATTGTTCATGCAGTGGAGAATCAGTTTTGAACGTAAATGAAAAGAGTGCCCAAGCCATAAGAACAATTTTTTCTAGAACAGCGAGCATCAGAAGGATCAGTAAATTCCTGGAGAGTAAGAGAAAAATAATGAGCGAGCAGTATGTCATCTATCGAACAAAGGGCAGGCAGAGAGAGGAGTCTCTTGGCTGACTGACACACACAAACACAAACACAAGAACTAGTAATCATACTGCTATTACTTACTAGTTACAACTGAATATTATCCTTTACATGGATCCAAAATGTGTTAGGTGATACAGCAGTACGGTTAACATTTTGTTTTGTTCTTTAATTGGTGAAATCTTTCAATATATTAAAACAAAGTGTGTGAGCCATTATTTCAGAATTTGAGCCTAGTCAATTGTAAGATTAACAGCTGTTTTGTTATTAGTCATGAGGGTACGTGCAGATTGATTGCTGAGGGGGGCGGAGCTAAGCGCTTGGAGCAGAGGGTTGCATGGCCACGGAGCTCCAGGCTAGAGAGCCAAATAAGCAATATTTTCAGGCAACTAAACTCAAACCAAAACTTACCCAGGTGCGACCCTGTGAACCACAAAGACCAAATGGACCGCAAGAGCAGGAAGGCGAAGCCCGACAAGCCCCGCCAGAGCATGGACATGGGGGAACTATGGCGGCAGGCGCACGATGCAGCAGGAGCCAAGATGGCGTCCCTGCACGGAGGCGGCTCAGACTTCACAGACGGGTAGTCAGACGAAGAAGGGTGAGACCCCATTATGGCCCTGCCAATCCCACCGCCACCACAGGCGCCACCAGATGCGAAAGCCCCCACTCCTGTGACCATGGAGGCTATCGGGGAGCTTATAGCACACCATCATAAGAAGATCGCAGCCAAAGTGGCCCTGATTAGAGAGGCTATCAAAGGCATAACTGACAGGTTGGGAGAGGTAGAGGCCTCCTCATCCAACCACACTAACCAGATCGCAGACCTTCAAGCAGCGATCAAGGATCTGCAGCAAAAATCCTGGCAGCATGAACAACAAATAGCCGCCCAAGAAGACAAGCCATGCCGAAACAACCTAAAAATCAGGGGGGTCCCTGACTCCATACCAGAGGCTGAACTCCCACACTTCGTTAGAAGACTCCTCACTGAGATGTTAACCCCAAAGGCAGCGAAAGCGATCACCCTGGAGAGTCTATTTCGCATACCAAGACCAGCAAAGGCCGCCCCAGGGGATTTAATACTCCAGTTTCAATCAGCCAGGGACAAAAAGGCGGTCCTCGAGGCCACAAGAGGTCAGTCAGCTTACCCCTTCGAAGGGATGACCCTCTCCTTCTACACGGACCTCTCGGGAGGGACAATGGCGTGGAGGAGATCCATGAGTACATACACGGCCCTCCTGCGCCTCCACTAAATACGATACCGCTGGGGCCCGGGCCGCGCTCTCCACATCGTCCAGGAAGGCACCAAGCACGTTGTCCACGACATGCAAGAGGCCACAGGGACACTTGGGTGACTTAACCTCCCCACAGAACCACTGGCTCAAGCGACGCACCCAGCAGGCCATAGGCGCCCACTCCGAAGACACTCCGCGAACGCCCCAGAGTTTGTATCCCGGAGGCCGCCCATGGACTCCTATGCCAAGGCCACCACCTGAACTGAACTTTGCCATATTTGACCCGCACCAACACCGCACCATACCATGCAAACATACACCCATGCAGGTTGCTTTGTTGATGTAACCAGGGCTATCGCCTCCTCCACTCACACCCTCCGACACACGATACCTCCCCCAGACGCAGACTTGTCCCAGGACACACACAATCACAGGGCAGGAGAGGACCCCCCCCACTGACTCACTTTGGGAGAGCCGATGACTTACTACCCGATCATAGGCAGACGCAAGCAGGACCACCACAAACCCCCTCCTCCGTCCTGACAAAGGGCCCCCCACTACACTAAGAGGTGACACCGGGCCGAGGGCACCCTGACGGGCGACCGGATGGACGGACGCGACCGCTACACCTCCGACAGACCGCATTTACAATGGGGTACCCCCTCCCCGCCTAATCTAGTCACCACCCAGCGCCCTGATCTCATAGAACACAACGGTGAGTGACCCCCCTGGGCACATTCCCTCACGTGACTAAATCGCCACTGACCCACACACACACAAACAGGTTGAGCCCCCCCGGACGACCAAACACACAGCTACCCACCCGGCACGAAACGTTAATGCGGATACCTGTACTGTTGCTCCTCGAGGCGGCGCCTAAGCTCTTCATTAATAATTTAAAACTGTGTACTTATTCTTAATGTCACTGCCGAAATTTGCAAAATCTCACACCTGAACTTTGCTGAAACGGCAACGTACACACGATGTTCCACTTTATTTTTGTGTGTGTTGTGTTATTGTTTTAACCAGTTTAATTCCAGCGGACACTACCTTATACCAGCGCCTACTACGCCACTAGCTTCACTTAAAGCAGCACTGTCATGACGAACTTACCTTTCCTCAATCTCTTCCTCTTCTCCCCCTCTCTCGGGATCTGTTATTCTTTTCTTCCTGTCTTCTTTAGTTTTCTTTAAAATCATAAGACAAAGTAGGGACTCTTTGCCTTATGGAGGATTCCTCCGCTTGACCAGCTCTGACCAGCGGAGGAGCAAAGTGTGCTTCATTTCCGCTGGTCAGAGCAATTTTCCCATGATCCTTACCTTCCCTCTGTGTTCCCACAATGCTTCCTGTCACTTTCCACAAAACTGCCGAATTGCGTTCTAACTGAATGAGAACAGTATGTTCGTTTCTTTTAGAACGCAATTCGGCACTTTATTCGGATCGGAATTTCATTCTAATGAATGAAACTCTGATCCTATTCATTGCTGTGGCTGCATCTTGCAGCCGCTTAGTAGATAACTCCCTAATTCCCACAGTATCAGGGAGCTATCTACTAAAAGGCTGAAAGACCTAAATTGGTCTTTCAGCCAAATTTACTAATACTAAGTAAAGATTACTTAGTATTAGTAAATTAAATGCCCCTACTCGCTATACCGCGAGTAGGGGCATGTGTAGTAAGCAGTGAGCAGCTTATAGCTGCTCACTGTAAAAAAAACAAAAACAAACTAATAACCCCCCCCCATGCCCGTGGGGGCCCTAAATAAAGATGGGGGGGAACCTGGCCCCCACCCCTGAGCGGTGGGTGGGGGCCCTAAATAAAGATATGGGGGGGAACTTCTGTCCCCCCCCCTGGCCCCCACCCCTGCGCGGTGGGTGGGGGCCCTAATAAAACAATAAGGGGGGGGACCTACTGTCCTCCCCCCCTGGCCCCCACCCCTGAGCGGTGGGTGGGGGCCCTAGTAAAACAATAAGGGGGGGGACCTACTGTCCTCCCCCCCTGGCCCCCACCCCTGAGCGGTGGGTGGGGGCCCCAGTAAAACAATAGGGGGGGGACCTACTGTCCTCCCCCCCCTGGCCCCCACCCCTGAGCGGTGGGTGGGGGCCCTAGTAAAACAATAAGTGGGGGGACCTACTGTCCTCCCCCCCTGGCCCCCACCCCTGAGCGGTGGGTGGGGGCCCTAGTAAAACAATAAAATACCTACTGTCTCCCCCCCGCCCCCACCCCTGAGCGGTGGGTGGGGCCCCAGTAAAGCAATGGGGGGGGGGACCTACTGAAAGCCACCCAATCAGAGTGTTATGAGTCATTTTACACAGCGTGGGAAAATTCAAAAGAACTTTCCCACGCTGTGTAAAATGACTCAGAGCACTCTGATTGGCTTAAACCCACCAATCAGAGTGTTCTAAGCCTAATTGCAGGGCGGGGCAAGGCTTTATAAGCCTTGACCCGCCCTGCGGAGCTCAGTATGCGGCGTGCCCTTGAAGGGCGAACTTGGATTAATTTTTTTTTTGCGCTCGTTTTTTTTTGTTTTGTTTTTTTAAGTGCGACGAGTGTAATGGATTTTTATTTGGCCTTTTTGGGGGCTGAAGAAAGAAGATTTTAGAAAAAAGAAGACGTCAAATGGTAAGTTTAATTATTTTTTTTTACAGGTTAGTTATTTTATTCCCCCCCTCACTATTTGTAGGGTGAGGGGGGTAGGTAGGGGATAGTTTTTTTTGGGTGGGGGGGGTGGTGACTAGGGGCTTGGGACCCCTAGTCACCTTGATTGGGGGGGGGGTGTTTCATTTAGGGCCCCCACCCACCACTCAGGGGTGGGGGCCGGGGGGGGGGAAGGACAGTAGGTCCCCCCCCTTATTGTTTTATTAGGGCCCCCACCCACCACTCAGGGGTGGGGGCCAGGGGGGGAGGACAGTAGGTCCCCCCCCTATTGTTTTATTAGGGCCCCCACCCACCGCTCAGGGGTGGGGGCCGGGGGGAGGACAGTAGGTCCCCCCCCCTTATTGTTCTATTAGGGCCCCCACCCACCGCGCAGGGGTGGGGGCCAGGGGGGGAGGACAGTAGGTCCCCCCCCCCTATTGTTTTATTAGGGCCCCCACCCACAGCTCAGGGGTGGGGGCCAGGGGGGGAGGACAGTAGGTCCCCCCCCTTATTGTTTTATTAGGGCCCCCACCCACCGCTCAGGGGTGGGAGCCGGAGGGGAGGACAGTAGGTCCCCCCCCCCTCATTATCTTCATGGCCCCCACCCACCGCTCAGGGTGGGGGAGGGGGGGAGGACAATAGGTCCGCCCCCTTATTGTAATTTATGTCTTTTTTTTCAACAATGAGCAGCCACAGGATGCTCACTGTTTAGTAGACATGCCCCTACTCGCGGTATAGCGAGTAGGGGCATTTGGGAGATTTTAATCTCCCTTGTGCTATTATGGGGGTCATATTGACCCCCATAGAGTGAGAGGGGGTACTGGGGGGGCTTATGAAGTGGTGGGGAGCACTGCTCCCTGCCGCTTCTATAGTTACATATTACAAGGAGGGAGCTGCGTGCCGGTAGCTCCCTCCTTGTAATAACCTGCACGAACAAACTAACACTGATACTCAGATACACTGATACATTGTGTTAGTTTGTTCGGCTGATCTTTCTATTCACTCATTCGTCTGTCTGATGAATGAGTGAATAGATGAAATTCCCGTTCGCATGTCCAGGTGTTTCACTGGGCATGTGCGGGAATCTCAGTGTCTGCCTAGTGTGGGCTGATGACGTGTCCCTGAGGGACTTCACCTACCCACACAAAGATGGCGGCGCCCTGAATCAAGATCGGGGCAGAAAATAAGGATTAAAAAATAGGTAATCTGGGGGGCTTAGGGGCATTTGGGGGTGACTAGTGGGTCAATTGGATGTAGTGGAGGCGGGAGGGGGGTTAAAAAAAAAACGGGATTCGGCATGACAGTGCCGCTTTAACACTCAGCGTAGTTTACAATAGTGGCAGCAGTTAAACCTTACCTAGTGCTAACTAGTTTATCTATAAGGCCCTAAGCATACATGTACCCTAACGTCACACCTTGGGCAATGGATGAGCTCACGCTACAGAGCACAAGATAGAATGTCACACGGAACTGCTGCCTAGCCTGCAATAATTAGCTCTCGACATCCAAAGATATATTTGCATTCAACTACAACACACCTTGATGCTTATAACGGGCTAATAACTTGCTAAGCTACTAATGCCAAATGATGTTCGTACTACAGGCAATGATTGTAACCAGGCTTCTGCATAGAAACAAAATGCGCAAACACGCAAGCCACTGTAACACCCTTATTATATGTTGACATATGTTGATACACGCTGTTGTGGCGTCTTTGGAAACGATGTACCTACCTGCGCAACTAAAATAAAGAATTACAAAATCAGATTGATTGCTGAGGACATAAATTTACTCTGAACAAGGTGTGGACAGGGCGCAGAACCCCAGCTGCAGCAGAACTACAAATCCCATGATGCTTTTTGTCTACTTCCATTAAACTGTGCCTCTGCTTTTACTAAATCCCCACAGTTCCATAGCGGCTCATGCTATAATAATGCAGTCAAATTCTGGGATCTAGTATCTTTATAGCACAAAACAGTAACTGCAATATTCACACCTAAAAAGGCAAATCTTCCTTACTCTCCACAAAACAGTAGGGATGGCACCTCCACCACTGACAATGGAGAAAGTGGCTCATATGCAAAAGTAAGTTACGTGATAAGGAGTTACAGGTCTATAGCTATTGAGGAGCCTTGTAAAAATAAATAAAAATAAAAAGTAAAAACTGAGGAGGGAGAGGGATAAATGTTACCATTTCTTGTGCAACATCATCAGGAGTTTCTTTTTCCAGATCAAAAGTAAACTCAATGGCTCCATTATCTTTGGGTTTCCCTTTTAACTTTTTGTGATCTTCTACCCAGAGTCTTAAGGCAATGGAAGATTTTCTCCCATGGTCTTCCTCAGCAAGTTCCACTCTAACCCCAGTATCTTCAGCAAAGAAGGCATGGCTTAATAAATCTTTAATCTCATATCTGAAAAACAAAAATGCAAAATGATTCTGCACATTTTTTTTCTATAATTTTATTATTTAACTTTATGTTGCATAAGTTGAATGGCTGTTGCACATATTTTAGAGCATTTTAAGAATAACAGTTGACATTTTGAACATTTGTACAAGTACCTCTGTAATTCTGACATGCTAGCTCACCAAACATATTGTAGAAAAAAAAAAATACTATACAACAAATGTGCTTCCTATTCACAATCACATGTGCATGCTCAATTGTTATTCTTTTTAATAATGCAACAACGGCATATTAACTACCCAGAGACAAGTTCAAGACACACTGAGTTTATTCATTTGTAATATAATTTCCCAAGCAAAGCAATTTCAGGAAACTAACCGTGTTTAGGCAAAAGTGATTCCTCAATAGCTTTCGAATATTTAGCATCACCTATTTTTCAGAAACCCTGCCCTGCACACATTTGTATACATAGCATTAAAGTGTAGTGTCTAGGATTTAAGGGTTCGAGGCTATGCATTTTCTTTCCCTGAGAGTATTTTGTTTTCGATAAAAGAAACCGCTTTAAGTGACAGCACATTATTTACCATGGCTGTCCGCAGTTTAGCTGACTCATTGCAAATAAATTGTCAAGACATGAGCTGCATAAGAAGAAGCAAAATTCTGCAGCTGGTCGATATAAAGGCATCTCTATTAGGAGCATCACGATTTCTTGACCATTAAAGAGAAACATCTACACAGAAAACATGGGCACATCCAATATATAATGCAATAGATTCTCCATACATCCTCACCTTTCTTGTTTATTTTTACAGATACACTCCCCAATAATTTCCTTGATTTCTGGGTCTGACACCTTCTCAAAGCTTGCTGGTTTGACACCCTGCAGATATTTGAAAAAGAAAGACATTGTATTCAATATTTAGATATCTGTGCAAATGTCTATTACTCAAACCGATCAGGAAGTAGAGAGGGAAATAAGTATAAATCATAGAAATTAACATTGTTTGTATTCTCAGTGTTGGTGACCTATCCTTGGGGTCACATGGACAGACACATGAGTCATAGATCTAATCCTTCATAATACAGACCTTCAGCGTAATTGATTGCAATAGGAGATATATTGTAATGTGCCTCTGGCTATTACATTCTAAAAGAAAAAAAACATTTTTAAGGAACAAATACATTTAGAAAAGCAGGTCCTGGGCCTGAACAGCAGATCTGTTGGGTTTAACTTTCAGGAGCACCCAAAAGTTGTGGACTCATTGACTCGTCAAGATGGAAGAAAGAAGAAAAATAAAAAACGTATTCTGGAGCTTGACAAGAAGTTCAGTGCTGGGCAGGTAGGCTTATCTGTAAAGCAGGAGAAATGCAACACCAGCTCTTTCAAATCTTCACATTTACAGGGACACTCCACTGCCAAAAAAATAAGAATAAAAAAAAAAAAAGAAAAAAGAAAAATACCCCATATAAACCATTGTTTTTATTGGGGGCATATTGAAACAACTTGTAAAACGTGCAGATATCCTCTGCTTCCTTTGCAAGTCCTCCCCTTCTAACCCGCCCAGGCTTTCTGTGACTGTCCAATCACAGAATTCCCAATGCAGCTCCATGAGAAGTCTGTGCAAGGCAGGTGCTCTGGGCAATTGCTTCTTCTCAAGTTTAGCTCCACTGAGCCAACCAAACCAGTTAGTAATACAGCCTGTTGCCTGATTGAAAGCCAAAAAATAAATAAAAAAAATACTCATGAGACATCACTGAACAAAAATATGAGTGTTTTAGGGCAATAAAACATAATGAAAATTGTATCATCAGTGAAAGGGCAGTTTTTGTATGAAAAAAATGCAAAAAAAACAAAAATATGAACACTAACTTTGGCTAGGGTTAGTGACTAAGTGGCTACTAAAAAAGACTGGACATACCCCTATCTTGAGTACCCTGGGTTGTCTACGTTTGCAAATGTTATGCCATGACAGTGGTAATTTTAATTTCTGGGCTGCCATAATGTCTCAAAAGTAACATAGGCCCAACAACCCAATCTGGCAAATTTCAATGTGAATACACTGAAAAGGGAAAAGCACTATATTTGACCCTGTAAGTTTTCAAAACCCTATAAAAAAAAAAAGTACATGTGGGTACAGTTGTACTCGCGAGACACTGATTAACACAAATATGTATATTTTATTGCAGTAAATGCTAACAGTATGACATTCAACGTTAAAAAAGGAACATGGAAAAAATTCCTTACACTTTTTTTAGATTTTATTATTTTTCAATATCTGCCAGTTTGATGAAAAAATAAAATCAGAATTAATCTGTATTAAATTGTGTGTATAGGGAGATTTCTAGAATCAAGTGGAACTATTGATTTTTCAATTCAGGTGCAATTTATTTAGATAGAATAGTTTTTTTTTTATAGTTTGGATGAATGTAGTGGTGGGTTGTTTTTTTTTAGTATTGTACACAGAGGGAGCCATGATGGGATGGAAATTTTTGTGAATATTTTGAGCCAAAATGCAGGTTAAGCATTTTGAACCAATGCAGGCCTTAGCCGCTGGTATGAAGATCATTTATGACTGGTGCTCGTATGATTTGTATTTTAATTCTCATTTATTTAGAATAGAATGCTCAAAAAAAAAAAAAAGATTATCTATATCCCAGAGAGTTACTGAGTGACGCCAGTGGCTGGAAAAGTCCTGTAAATTGTAAGACAGAGGGAACACTTCACGCCTCAGCAGCTCCGAAATTGACCTTGATCAGCAGATGGCTCAGAGACACCCACGTGGCTGATCATTTTCAGATTGATCTTTACTTGTCCAACAGCAGAAAATAATCATTAACTTCCATCAGCGATGCCACATGCCATATACTCACAGGGATAAGAGAGCCCTAGCATGTATTAGATTATAATTCAGAGAATTAATATTTAATTGCGTAGTTACACATTCCGCAGTGGAGGAGGGGGTTAAATATACAAATAGGTATGGGTATTGCACGTTAACATGAAAGAAGAAATATGGATAGCAGCCAAGTACCCTGATTTAAAGGGACACTCGAGACCCCTAAAGCATGTCATGTCAGCTTACTGAAGTGCTTTATGTGCGAAGAATGTGTCCTGTCCTTTACATTTTACAAATAGTGCAGATTGCAATAAAAAAATGGCACTTTTATAAATTAAGCTTGTTACAGAGCTAAATTCAAGAGGCAGCAATTGCTCAGAGCAACTGTCTTGCAAAGACTTCTCATTGAGCTGCATTGCAAGTCTGTGATTCGACCGACAGTCTGGGTTGGGTTAGAAGGGAGGGCTTAACAAGAGATCTGTAGTTTCTGCGAGTTTTTTTTAAATGTTGCATACTGAAATCCATGCTTTCACTGGGGGCATACCAAGTAGACCGTGATTTTTATTTTTATTTGGGCAGTGGAGTGTCCCATTTTACAGGCAGATACAGAACTGTGGTTCAGGTTTGAAACAAATACATATACTTCTATTCTCAATTGCCTAGATTGCCCAAATAAAGATTTTGGATTGATTTTGTTTCTTTTATGGAATATCATAGCATTAGGATACTCTGCTACAATGATCTTAAAGGGTTGCTATAGCCACCGACACCACCGCAGTTCTTCTACGGAGTGAACCAAATCTAAGGTCCGAACCCGCCCCAAATAATTCCTGCCTGCATGAGTAACAATGATAAAGACCCCTGACACAAACCTGCTAAGAATAAACTTGATCCCACGATAAACTTTGAATACCCCTCCAACGAACACGTGCCACGTCACATGGAAACCCCAAGTTCCGACCATATGAGCTATTCTCCGCTCGCCTGGCCGTCCAATATATCCGCCCCAATAAGAAATGAATGTGACGAGTACCCAGACGCATCCTGGTCCAACGCAGACAGAGCTTTCGAAGAACCATAGCAAACTGATAACGTGTCTGCGGTGACCAATCTGCGTGATTCAACAGCGAGGGAGAACCCAATGGACGCACCAAGAAATATTCCTGAAAAAACTTGACCGGACAAATTTCCCCTCCGAATGCCCCAATACAAAGCCAGGCCCCTTTCCCCAACCCGATCCGTTCGACTTCCTGATTCGTACATCCACAAAGTATTCAGACCAGTAAGCAAAACTCCTTCATAATGTCCCTCCAACCCAAGAAATTAAAAATTAAAAGACCATGCAGCCAACGCCTTCTCTGCCAACGCACAAGACCTACCCCGCTCCAGCAAGAGGCACATATATCTTAACGTTACCTCAAATTGCAATGCCCCAATTCCAATGACAACCTGCTTACATCCTGTAATGCGAGCCACTCCGCCCACACTGCCTGATATGATCTCCATGTGGACGGGCCAAGGACACCAAAAACATCAAGCCTCGAAAACCAGGTCATGTAAGTACTGAGGACAGGGCCGTCCCTCTCGTTCCGCCTCTGAAGCAGACTCTCGAAACTGGTCCCACTTAAACCGAGAAAGAGTCAGCCACCATGTTCTTCACGCCCGGCAAATGCCAAGCATTCATCCACACATTAAATATCAAACAACAGAACGGGATGCTGCAGCAATGACAAGATCGGCAGTGACTCTGAGGGTGAGGGGTTAATCATATGGACCACACTCATGTTGTCCGTGTGAAAAACCACCATACTATCCCTGAGCTGCTCCTCCCACAGGGCCATGGCAACCATGAACGGGAACAAATCCAAAAACGTCAAATTCCTCATAAAATCCTGATCCTGCCACCCTAAAGGCCAACCCGCCGCACACCATTTACCCCGGAAGAAAAAAAACAAACACCACAGAACCCGACGCATCCGTATAGTGGTGCAATTCAGAATTGGACACCACTTCCGGCAGCCCATTGTAATGACCCAAAAAGGGTAAACCTGCAAATCCGTCCGAAGCTTGGCTGTGATCCGTAAGTAATGATGCGGCTCCCGAACACCCACCGTCGCCAAAGACTACCGCCAACAAAATGCCCTACCCATCGGAAAAACCTGACACACAAACGCCAGGTGACCCAACAACACCTGCCTTTGCCACAGCTGCCCTCTGTGTTCGGTTCTGCCACTGGGACCCCAAATTCGAAAGCAACAAGCCGAAATCCAGACAACAACCGGGCACACACATCACTATCCCGAGGACCAACAAAGAGAAAATCATTGAGATAGCGCGTAACAGAGGAAAAGCCAGACGATTGAAAAAAACAACGCAGATTCAATGTCAGACTTGGCCAACCACGAACCCACCCCCGCCGTGTGAACCATTTCCAAAGTCAAGCGATGCATTCTGTACCCTGCTAACTCCTTATCGATGATATAATTCACTGAACTCCCAGCTAGGTAGGACAAGTGATGAATCAACCGAAAGGCACCCGCTTACTTTTTTGGAACTAAACCCAACGGCAACACCCACAGATAAGGAAAATGGGGAACGTCAAAGGGGCCAGAAATGCACCCCATGCAGTCTCCTTCGACAGTTGTTCCGCTAAAAGCCGTTCGTGACCCTGAATTGAACGTAAGTTATCCGAAAACCGTGCCTCCACCGACAACATGTAAGGGATCCAGAACCCAACTGAAAAACCCTCCTCCAAAGTCCTTGCTTCCCACGTTTTAGGATACTGGGCAAGCCACCGAGCCATCCACACCCCTAGTAATGTCGTCTCATGAACTTTTTGGGGGCATCGGCTGTTTTGCCTTCTTAAAACACCACAGTGCGAGATGAGCTCCCCTGCAATGGAAACATTGGTGTCGAAACCCGCAGGAGGAATACCACCTGCAGTGACTCTCATTGAAGAGCCAACAGACACACAGGCTGCAGTCTTGAGTCCCAAAGTCCAGACCAGGACAAGCCGCCATCTTCTGACAGAATTGCTGACTGTACCTAAACAAACTCTGTTCCCCATATACTTTGTATGCACCCCAAATTAAGTCATTTGAAAAGGAAACCTGTGCTAGAACAGGGACCGCATCTGTGCCCCAAAATCACTTCATGATAGAGTACGTGTCATACTTGTTTACTCGTAGAATATAACATTTTTCAAGCCCTAGTTTGTAACATTTATTTTTTGTGGATTTTCAGATATAGATTGTGGTCTAGATTGTTACTCTTGTTCTGTACGGTTTACTACCTATTTAGTAATTTGTGCATGGGGTCCATGGTATCATTTGTACATTCACATGTTCATTATGACATATTGTTTATAGCAAGATTATCTAGTCGCCAATAACGTATTGTTTATTTTATGGAGGGATGCTCGCTAAAGAATTATACTTGCCAGGTATTTTAAGCCTTTAACGAGTAATAAGAAAAAAAAATCCCTTTAAAAACGGTCATAAGGGCGATAAGTGCTGTTGTTAAATATTTATAATTTAAGTCATAGCAAGGATACAAGAAAATGTGAAAACAACATTTAATTACACCACTAGAAGTTATACAATCCTTTTATATAGAAGAGGGGTTATTTCAGAATGATTAGTATCCCTATAGCTGCACACAAGCAAAGAAGGTACACTATGGAAGAAAAATGTCTCTCCATGCTACTGCTTACCTCTGTGCCTCTCTAAAAGTTTCATCCTAGCTAACATATCCTGTTATCTCTCCACCAGTCTGTATATTTTGAACTTACATGTGGGCTGTTCTCTATGTACATGTAGTGTGGTGTTTAAGGATGCTGTTGCGCATAATGACATGTATGTGTGGGAAGGTTGTAAATTGAAGGGAAGGGGAGATTGAGTGAATGTAGGCAGTGTGTATGTGTGTTTATATAGCTGTGTGTCACTTTAAATGCACTTTTCCATTTCTAATTTCAGTGAATGGCTCAAAACGCAGGCTGGGAAACCAAGCTACAGCCCACTGACTAACAAGGTCCCTCAGGGAGCTGACCATGATTTGCACATGCAGTGCACATGAAATCAGCAAGCTCCCTCACTGTAGCGAGGCAGTGCAGAGCCAGTTGGTGAAATCTTTTGGTCTCCCTACCGACTTGAGGAAGGTAAGGACTCCTCTCTGCATATCCATTGGGGTACACATAACGCAGGTTGCGAGTACAGAGACATAAATTATCTAGATAATCAAAATGTGTGCTAATGGATAGGCAGGAACAGTAAGTATATAAGGTGCTGGACTTCACCTTAAATCTTTGGACTTAAGTGGGAGATATACTTGGCATCAGGAAAGTGTAAAATATTCAAGAATTCCAAATTTGTTTTGTTTAGAATATGTTCAACATTGCATGTAATATTTATACAAGTTGAGCCAAATTTCAGAGTATGATTTAACAGGTAAATAACTTATTTGTTAGTAATTAAATTTTTTGTTGCATGTACATATTATAACTAAGTCTTGGTAGATTCATAATGGGTAATTTCACAAAGAAACAACAGATAAAAATAGTGGAATTTTATTAAAATGGCAGGTGCATTATTTTGACGCAAACAGAAAAAACTTCCTGAAATGTGGTTTTAACAAGATGGGGCTACTGCCTTTACAGCCAGATACACAATGAATCTCCAGGATTCCCCTGGACTTCCAAGGAAGGGGAGGCATGACTGCTGCCCATAGAAGGGGAGGGGAAAAAATGGGTACAATGTTGCAAAAGGGGGATCAGAGGGGAGGGATTAACCACTTGCAAGAAGCAGCCTAGTTAACAAGCTTGCCTTGTCTTGCTCCTTTACGGATTGCATAAAAAAAAAAAAAATATATATATATATATATATATATATATATATGCAGAGGAAAAAAAAAAGGAAACACTAGTGTCTGTTCCAAGTATCTGGAGTTTTAGGTTGTTACTTGGTGTACATTCCTGACGAAAATGGCTGCAGTCTCCCAAGCTCCCTAAGAGAAGACACTGCAAGCTTACATGGCTTCCCATGGGTCGGGGTCCCTGGATGCAGTGCTGGCTCGGGGGAGCGGCACGGGACGCAGCAGGAGTGCCAAGAGGATCATTGGTGACAGCGGTGGCAGGAGCAATCCAGGTCTCCAGGAGTAGGCAATTTCGGTTGCAGGACCAAGATGGCTGAGCGCACCTTGCAGCCCTGCTTCTCTTCCGGCCCAGCTGGAAGTTATGTCAAGATGTAGGATGGCTGGCGCCGGAAGGAGATTGGAGCAGGAAATGATGTGGGGCATGTACATGGCGTTGGCACGTCGCGGCGTCACAAGCCTCGGCGGCAGACCAGGAAGTGGCAGAAAACCAGCACTGGAGCCTCCAGAAGGCTTGGGAGGCACTGGAAGTGGAGCAGAGCAGATTTGACGCCTGCTGAGGGACCCAGGAGGTGGTGTCCCATATACTTCACTGGCTAATGGGCATTGGTTGCCAGAGGTCCCTGGAGGCTCTGGGCAGTGGAGGACCAACAGTCTGCTAGGAGGTCGGCTGCAGGAGGAGCTGGACAGCGGGTCGGAGGAGGAGCTGGAGGACCAGGAGGAACGGGAATGAAGACAAGCAGAACGGCCCCCTATGGCAGCTCATTTCAGAGGTGAATCCGCATGCGCAGGCGCTTGGGGTAGCATTCATGAAGGTCAGGTAGCGCAGTGTGGTGCTTAGCAGGAGTTGTTGCGCTTGCGGAGTAGTGGTGGTGGATAGGTTGCCTGGGGCTAGCGAGTTGGATGGTTATTTGGTTAGGAACATGCTGGACTTGCTTATCCTGGTTCCCCTGGATAAGGATTCGGTGGATAGGCCGCGGTGTGGTGAGCCTCAGGACGGGGAAAGGGGTAAGCAACTCCCACGGACGTTTGGGAACTGGTTGCAGGGATTTTCCATATTTGCACGTATACTGTCCCGACGTTTTCCAGAATGCACCTTGTCGCTGTTTGAGTACCTGGACTTAATTTGGTGTGCATACAAAGTATGTTGGGGACAGAGTTGGTTTAGATACGATCAGCAATTCAGCCAGAAGATAGCTGCTTGTCCTGGTTTGAACTTTGGGACTCAAGACAGCAGCCTACTGCTGCTCATGATGCCTAGTCGGCCGTCCTTCTTTCCAGGGTCAGCCAGGGCTTAAGCCAACGCCCCGACTCAAATGCTCACACCCAAGTAGCTAGTCTCATGAAGATAAGCACTAAAAGCTTCATAATAAAAAAAAAAATGCAACAACCGAATTCATTTAATCTCTGACATCAACAAGTCACATTGGTTGAAGCCAGGCACTGGGGGTGCATTCAATACTCCTCTAGGACCACTGGATTGGTAATTGTAATAATAGCCGCATATGCATATGTCCAATAATCTCTCTCTACGAAAAGCAATTGATAGGACCAGGCAGACATGGTGAATATAGAAGGAGGATAGGGCTGCAGTGAAGGGTCTGTCTTAGCGCTGGGTTTAAGTACATTTAAACTTTTTATTTTTAAAGCAGGCTTCTAAAACTAAACAAATGTAAACACAAAAATATTGTTTATTTAAAAAGAACACTCCACTCACCATAACAGCTATAGTGGGTATGTTGCCATGAGTGCCCTAGTACCCCCACATATTCTAAGTAAGTGTATATGCTGAGTGCTGCTCTCCGCCTTTACAACTAGTGTAGGAGAAATGGAAATTCATACACAATGTACTGTATTAGAGGACTTTGCTCAGGAGTGCTAACAGACGCTCCTAATTGGTTTCTTCTGGCAATACAGTAAAACTGCACATTTTAGAGTGGCCTTTTATTGTGGCCGGCCTAAGACACACCTGTGCTATAATCATGCTGTCTAATCAGCATCTTGATATGCCACACCTGTGAGGTGGATGGATTATATCGGCAAATGAGAAGTGCTCACTAACACAGATTTAGACAGGTTTGTGAACAATATTTGAGAGAAATAGGCCTTGTGTACATAGAAAAAGTCTTAGATATTTGAGTGCAGCTCATGAAAAATGGGGGCAAAAACAAGCGTTTTGTTTATAATTTTGTTCAGTGTAGATTTTCAAAACAGTGATAAGTATGTGTGTGCAGTACATATCTCTCAAAAATACTATATACAGCGACAGACAATATCCCATGTGCTTAAAGGATGCTATAAGTATCAGGAATATAAAGCTGTATTCCTGGAACTATAGCTCCCCATGTCTCCTGCCTCCCTCACGCACCCCTTCACAGTGAATAAAGGGTTAAAACCATTTATTTACTTTATACAAAACAGCTAAAGTGCAATACGTGGCACTTTATCAAAGTGCAATAAATACTAAAGTGAGGCTAGTTATCAATGTGGAACCAATCACGATAGTTCCACAGAATAAAGAACACCGCAAACAATGTGAACAGCGCACAATAAAAATATTTACTTAACTGATACCAGCGTCGATGTCCCTTGGCGCTTGGTTGACTCTCCTCCCCCTCCGACATCCCGCGCACGCATTAGACCTCTCTGACAAAAATTGTGCAAAGTGTGAGGACGTCCAGCATCAGATACCGGATCAAATGTCTGTTACAATGCAGGAAGCACCTCCACTGGCTGTCTGGGAGACAGCCACTGAAGGCAGACTTAGAGCTGCAATATAAAGTGCAAAAAGGGACACTCCATCCAGACCACTTCAGTGAGCTTAAGTGGTCTGGGTGCCTATAGTGTCCCTTTAAGTGGTGTGTCAATTTATATGTAGACTGTGTCTCTGTGTGCATTGCCATTTAAAAGACATATGAATTAGTGATGCCATAAGTAGTGTGTTCTTGCAATCAAAGGTGCTTATAATTTATATAAAACATGAATACCACAGGATTGTTACTTTAATCACACACAAGAGGCTCATGAAGGATCTAGAAGTATATTAACAGAGTACACAGACTTAGGGACTTTAAACATGCAATCTCTCTTTACAGGAAGTGTTTATGAAGGTTGTGCAAGTCAAATGCAGGGAGGTGTGACTAGCAAAGAATTGAGCAGTGAGACTGCATGGGCATGATCTATATACACAAAAACTGCTTAATTAAACTAAATGTTTTTTGGTGCCTATAGTGTCGCTATAGTGTCCCTTTAAGCAAGATGCTTACAACATTTTTGGGGAGTGTGCGAACAAAAATATTCAAACTGAACAGATTTCTCAATCTAGCACCATTCATTCTAACAGAAGCATGACATCTGCACAGCACAGTTCCCGAATCATAATTTATCCTCAAACACTTTGCCCATGGGATACCTCTGCATCTCCACACCATTATGTGTCATGGAAAAAGCCATCTGTAATAACACATGTTCCCCAGGGCATATGTCTGGATCCATTAGCTGTGACCTATGACCAAATTCCTTCTGTACAAGGTCATAAATTAATCAAAAACTGTACACAGTGAGTGAAAGAAGAAAAAAAAACTCTCCCTTAATTCCAACTCATTCTTCTAATCTCACTTCCTATATACATCCTTCCTATCACCACTCTTGGACACTTTATTTTTCCTATGGTGTGCCATTTTATGAATCCTTCTATAACACGAGGTGGAGGAGTAAGATGACTTGGCCCCTTAATTCTACGCTTATTCCCATGAGTGTCTGTACTATCACCTAATAGACAATATAAATTGTATAAATTATTTTTTAGTGGATATTGATGCCGAGTTGCGGAAGAGTGTCTCTGAGGAGAAAAGCACTATACCTTCCTGGTTTCCCAGGGGGAAAAGACTGGGAAACGGAATGGCCTTTCTCGGGGGGCATGGGTGGGGTAATGTGATGGTATTTTGGCACACTACTGTTGTATTATTGTAGTGTTACATTTCTCTGTTTATTTTGTTGCTTCACTTGAAAATATGCTGCTGTGAAAAATATAATTTTGTATGTGAATTTATATTGCCTGTGTAGTATTAAAACTATTTAGAAACTAAAAACAAAAGAAAAACGTACACAGCATCTGAATGATTATATAAACAAATGGTTACTCGTATAGATCAAAATCTGTAAAAAATAATAAATAAAAATAAATTTAGTGTGGAATGATGAAACATCTCACATATTCAAGGGCAAATTGCCATGGAAAACAAATTCATTACAGGGTTACTCCTACCAAAAACTACCCTAGCAGCAAGGGGGTGGGGCTAGAACTGTCCATCGCCAGCATGCATAGCGTTTCTTACTGAAGCACTGTGCATACAGACATACTATGACCACTTCAAATCGATGTATTCCTGTATTTGTAGAGTGTTCTAACCAAACAGGTTTGTCGCTTAAAAGCCCAAAGCAAATCCTGGTGCACACATTGCTTTCTTTGTGAGCGTTATGCAAATCTCAAACTCCTGAACACAAGGGATTCAAGAAGTTTCTACTTAAAGCTGTAAAATTAAAGTTAGCTTAAATATTTAAAGACTATAAAGTATTCTACTTGCACATGATAATTAAACAAAAAAACAAAACAAAACAAAAAAATAACCCACAAACTAAACTATCCGTGTCTGAATGTACTGTTGCTGTAAAGTTTTCTACTGAATAATAGCTAATTCGCGTCATTCATATACATAAGGCAAAGAATAATCAAGTTGCTCCATTATCTTACTTGCTTCTTCATTAAAGATTTTTTTTTACCTCAAAAATATATATTTTTTTTATAACAATCATTTTGTTAATTAAGTAGATGTATATTTTGAAATGTAAAAAAAAAATATATAAAAATAACTCATACCTTCACGTCCTCAGACCTTTTAGTTTTCATTCACTGCGAATGTATATGGCTGAAGCATCAAGTCGTATACTAAAAGGGCAGGGATTAGGTTCTCTCTTTTTTTATTTTTTACATTTTTTACATTTACTTTACGTAAAAAAAAAAAAAAAAAATTCAAAATCAATTTCCTTTCAAGACTTTAAGAAATGTTTATATCATCAAAAATATTTGAGGCGACAACTGTCCTTTAAATTGTTGTTCTCTCAAAGACAGCTAAGCAGAAAGCCCACATTTATTATTACTATTGCAACATAAGTAAATAGTGTAAATAGTAGAGGCAATGTTTTTTTTCGTGAATACTGCACCCAACCTGATCCCTTTACTTTCATCATGCCTTGCCCTTGTCTTCCTTTGCCGTTTACGGCCCCTTGCACATTAAATAACAGATATTGTCAAAACAGACATGACTTACGCTGGTAACTTTCCGATATATCTGAGCAGCATTCTGGCATTCAGAGTATGGGTACTCAGATGTTGCCATTTCTAACATACACATTCCAAAAGCATAGACGTCAACAGACTCATCATAATGCTCTTCGTACATCTCTGGCGCCATAAATTCCGGCGTTCCTGCAGATTAGAAATGGGATGTAAATATACAGATTTTACTTAAATATAACAATATTATAAAGAGAAGTATACATTTGGGGAAAAAAAAGATAAAAACACACTGGATGTAAATATTTAAGTGCAGTAATTATAAAGCTGAATTTCTTCTATGTACATTTTGTCATGAATCACAAAGATAATTTTAGATAAATTTACCAAGTCAGGCCAAGACTTTTGAGGACTTTTAATGATGGATTCTAAAATAAGACCAAACTGGAAACTGAGCTAGGAACTGAGTCAATGACTCCACAAATGTACTCTGTACTTCTCATGGAAATAAGCATGTTTATAAACTGGGGTTAAACTATGATACTCTACACCTATAAGTGTTGCTACTCTCGTGTCTGTCTCCCTCCAAGTCAACGGCGCTAACCATCACCTATACCTCACAGACTCGCTGCCTGGGTGTTCTTTTTGACCCCAACCTCTCCTTCACCCCTCATGCCTAATCAATCGCCAAATTCTATCGCTTCCATCTCAAAAACATTTAACGCCAGATGCGGCTAAGGTGCTGGTCCGTGATGTTGTTCTCTCTCGCCTTGACTACTGCAACCCCCTTCTCAGTGGTCTTAAGTGTTCCCAGATTGCACCGGTGCAATCTATAATGAATGCAGCAGCATGGCTGATTTTCCTGTCCGCTCGCACCTCCCCGCTCTGTCAGTCCCTGCATTGGCTTCCAGTTAGATATAGGGCTCAATTTAAAATTCTGGTGCTTGCTTACAAGTCCCTACATAATGCTGCTCCAACCTACCTATCCTCCCTAATACACAAGCATGTCCTGTCGAGGCCCCTACGCTCTTCCATAGGCCTACGCTCTGCCATAGACCTACGTATATCCTCTGTCCATAATCCCACTTCTAATGCTCGCCTCCAAGATTTCTCCATGGCTGCACCTACTCTGTGGAACTCCCTTCCCTTCTCCGGAAGACTTTCACCCAGTCTCCACTCATTGAAAACTCACTTCTTCAAGAAAGCATATCAATTAAACTGTCAGCAGGTTTTTATCCCCCACGACTCGTCTCCTGCAACTGTCAAAATGACCTACTCAGCCCTCGTTGAATACTTTTCTAACAACCTACTAATTCCCCTACTTTTACCCTTTGTGTCACTATACCCCACTCCCTCTAGAATGTAAGCTCATTGAGCAGGGCCCTACACCTCTCTATTACTGTACGTCCAGTTGTCTGGTTACAATTACAGGTCTGTTAGTCCACCCATTGTACAGCGCTACGAAATCTGATAGCGCTATATAAATATAATAATATTATAAAGCACTTCAGCAAGTTTAAGTGCTCTTTGGTGAGGAGTGGCCCTTTAAGTTGTTTAGGGATGCAAAACTTCCAGTTAAATCACCAATACATTTGCTGGCTGTGTCTCAAACAGCCCCCATGAAAAATTAGGAGGCTGCTATAGAATCTAGCAGGCAATAAACAGAGGAGGAGAGAATAGCTTTTAAATAAAAAAATAATGCAATTAGATTTATATTTCAGAAAGATTGTAGGATCCTATGTGATTCAGTGGTACATTTAAGGGATATACTAGGTACCAAATCAACTTTAGCCTACAGGAATACTATAGGCATCCAGACCACTTAATTTCAAAGTGATCTGATTGACATATGCCACCCCTGTCACCCACTTAACCTTGCAGTTGAAAACATTGTCATTCAACCTTTCAATGTTTACATTGCAGGGTTATCCTGCCTCTACTGGCGCTTCCATAAAGCTCTGTTATTTTAGTCAGATGGTCTCTGATTGTAGCAGTTCAATGTTTTGCCACACATGCACTTTAGCCTCCCAATGCTTCCTTGTGGGAAAACATTGGATTGGCTGACATCATCAATCTTTGCCAAAGAGGCAGAGCTTGAACAAGGAGGAGAAAAGGGTGAGCCAACTAAATTGCTTTAACCCCGGAAGAGGTGGCCTGGTCACCTGAAGCGCTCCTTTAATGAAGCCACTATATAGTCACTGTTCAAGTCGATGCTGTTTTAGGAGTGCAATCACTTTGTTTATGCAGCACTTGCCTCATATGCCCTTGCTGCGACTCACACAGACTCAAAATTTAATTTACAGCACAGTGTGTTACTGTAGATGTTTTTTATTTCCGGTTCTGTCAATCAAACTTTATTCACTTGCATGAGGACAAACTGGATATTGGACCAGGAGAAGATATAGAAATATGAACACAATTCCATTAGTCAGCGGGAACTCTAGTAGAGTTACACCTCCAGCGAAAGAGGGGTTATACTCCGTACATGCGGCATTTCATAGCGAAATGCTTAACAAACAGATTCCAGGCACCATAACCTCTACAACTCACTCAAGTAGTCACGGTGCTTGGAGTTACTCTTTAAATGTTTATTTTGAAAAAAATGTGTTCAATGAAAAGGTTTTACAACATACTGCAATAATCCAATAAAGCATAGCGTTAATAAAAAGTGTAAATAAAACTGTGTGTAAATAACAGGCTGCTTTCCTACACACACAGTTTACAGACAAATTACATTAGTAAAATAAGTAGTAATTAGGACTAAAGAAGCAAATAAGAGTGGGAGCAGAGACATGAGTGGAGGGGAAGAATTTTCACTCCAAGGATTAAGGACAAGCAAGAATATGGCTGTCCCACCATCGATTTAAAAAAAAAAAAAAAAAAAAACACAAATACTGCAAACCATTTATTTCCATTTTCTTTTTAATTCTTTAGAAGAAAACACACATAGACAAGGCTGATTATTACCTATGACACTTTTAGCAAATGAAGCCCGTTTTAGGGTTGCTAATCCAAGATCTCCTATTTTCACAGAGCCTGTGGGTCCTGTGATGAAGATGTTGTCACATTTCAGGTCGCGGTGTATAATTGGTGGAGTTCGAGTGTGGAGAAAATGTAAACCCTTAAGGATCTGCCGGCACCAACTGCGGAGAACCTTCGGTTTCATGACTTTAAACCTCTTCAAGTATCTGAAAAAGTAATTCCCAGGTTCATTAGTAGATTCATAATCCCTGTAGCAAGCAGCTGTTCCTATATTTCACTATACAAAATCTGTGCTGCAAATATGCAAATACGTAGAATAGTAAATAATCCTCCTCTTCTTAAAATTAGGAGATAAAACATGTTTCACAAACACAAGTCACTGGTACATCAATTTCAGATTTGGAAGAAAAGAAATAAAAACAAAAATTGTAAGAGATTTGCAACACTCTTGCCCCGTTTTTCCATTTAACTAAAGGAACTAGTGGAAAGCAATGCATAACTTGCTTATTAGGAAATGCTAATCTGATTTCTGTTCACCTTCAGTCACTAGGAGAACATATGCTTTGGGACAAATGACACCATCCAATATGGTTAATGTTTGCTTATTACAGTGTCACATCATTTAGGCATTCCCTTGTGCTTTGACTTTATTGTAAAATATTTATTCTAGAGACCACTGGCACTTGCAGCTCTGTAGGTTTCAGACAGCTTACACAACAAAGACATTATGAGATTTGGGGAATTTTGGGTACACAACTATCAAAGCTATCTTATTTTTCACGTCACCCTAACATAAAGGTGAAATGGGGACACTAGATGTTGCTTTAGCGGTCTTGTTAGATCAGAATCGGACAGATCTGTTGACAAATGCAAGAATTTTGTATAGCCCTTTTAGTAGGTCTATCGAGCAGGACACTTTTTGTTGTCATGAATGCTGTAAATAAAAAAAAATAAAAAAAACACACTGCTAAGCTCGCATGTGAGGGCTGACTGCCAGTAATAACATTTACTGGTTACATAAAAGCTTGCAATATTGTAGTAAAATATGGGGGTATCTATCAAGAACTATGCTTGTGCACAATGCTAAAGTGGAAAAATCTGCAATGTTTACATTGTTGCCTAGGGACACCTCTAGTGACAGTCACGCATATGGCCACAAGAGGTGCTTCCTGTATCAATGCTGCATAACGTCGCCACACTCTGCAAAGAGACGCTGAACGTTCCACATAGAGATGCATTGATTTAATGCAATTCTATGAGGAGATGCGGATTGGTGCAGTGTGGCGATTTGCTGCACATGCTCAATAGCCTCAATGCTTTTCTATGAGAAAGCATTTGATTGGCTGAAATAATCAAATATGATCATCTCAGCCAAGGAGGCAGAGCAGGGGTGGTATCAGACCTGTGCTGTGATAAGCCGAGTTCTTTGTAAGGGGAGCCAGTCACCCAAAAAGGGTTTATACACTTATAATGTCAGGAATGTATGTTTGTATTCCTGACTCTATAGTGTTCCTTTAAGACATTTTACATTAGTAAACAATGCATATTGGCAACAACATTATATCGTGACTTACGTTTTTAGAGTCCCTGATGTCATGAGTTCAGTAACAAGAACAATGCATTTCTTCCCTTTCAGACAGGATTCCCAGAAATCATAAAATCTGACGATATTTGGGTGCTGCAAACCTTTCAACATTTCAGCCTCCTCTTTAAACCGCTGCCTTTCCTGCTTAGTCAGTTTACGGTCCTGCACAGAACAATAAAGAATAAAAATAAGATTTTGACTTTTACGGGTTTCATTCTTTTTGTACAATTTAACTAGCATTCCATCCATAAATCACCAGCTCTCTGTGATTAGTTTATCTTGTTGCCATTTGTAGAAGAGGTTATTTTGTGACACTTAGAATGGAACTATATCAAAAATAAAATATGGAGAAGATCATATTAACAACCAAAATGTAGTAATGATAAAATTAGGCTAGTCTGTTTGCAAATATATCACTATAGCTAGGAGAGAGAGTTTTGATCAATTCAAACATTTTAAAATTATTTTTTTTAATATATTTTTTTAATTCTTTATTTTTCACGCTGCCATGTAGACCAATATATTGCATTGTACAATGAAAAGACAAATATCTATAGCAATAAGAGCAGATTGTACATTATAAAGAGCATGCGCCATTTATTTTTTCTGTGAAAGAACAGTATAGTATTTGTAAATGACAATCGTTATTGATAATCCAGGCAGCAGGCGGTCTGAGGTCCCTAGGGATGAGTAGGGTGTACGCGGTGTGCCCCAGTTATAGGCAAACGCTTGCTATAGTAAATGAATATGGAGTTAGCCATAGGTGACGTGTTAGACTGTCCGTATGACCACTGCCACCTTTAACAGTGTATTGGCAGTTTGTGTCTGCTAATCTTAAGGATGAACGCCTCTGCTGTCTTTTGACACTGTAAGCCTCTAATTAATCACATATGGAGGCGGGGGGTAGTTATAATGGCAACTCAGGTGAGTACGGGTTGTATGATACTGCGGGTAAGGGGAAACCACAGAAAAATCCTAGCATAAGCATCCTGGCATATTAAATTGTAAAACAACATAAACATATGAAGTATGAGCCATGTGCAGCTCCATCCTGAAAAGTAAGCGAGGTAAGGCAGACTGTGAGGGATCTCAGGTGGTAACCACCGCATTGGTATTTGGCTCATGCTGTCGAGGGACTAACTGTGTGATGGTCGACGGGTCCCATTTGTGTAGCTCCATTCAGGTCTTGAATTTTATAGGAGGAACTGCCTTGGGTGACAGCAGGATTCGGGATGAGCGCCAGCTATAATTTATCTTCCTCTCTCTTAACAGGAAGGTGAATGATCTGAATGTTCTCCTCCAGACTTATCTTTGCCATTTTGAAAGCGTATTACCACGTCTTTTGATGCGGTGCTTGGGGCTTTCTTAGGTTTGGGGAATATTTGCCTCCTTTGGAGAGAGCAGAGCCAAGAGGAGTCTCACAAGATGCAGGAGCTCTTCTGTTGGCAGCTTCTCCGGGATTCCCCTTATTTTTAGGTTGTCCTCCATGTTCACAAACCGCTGCTCAGTTAGAGATTGTTGCTGTTGGAGGCCTGATACTGTGTGCTCCAGGATAGCTATCCTCTGAGCTTGGCTATTCGTTGTTGTCTCCAGAGTGCCCAGTCTGCTTACCAGACCGGTGAGATCAGCGCGAAGGGAGGCCACATCTGTGTGGATGTTCCTTTGCAGATCCGCAAGCAGCTCCTTCAGGGCCGCCATCGTAACCAGCTGAGCTTCTTGGTGCCGGAGTGTCCGGTGCTTTAGCAGGTTTGCCAGCAGCCAGGTTACAGAGGGGTTCTTCCTCTGAGGTCAGAGTACTCATCAAGGTAGTTGGCCATCTTGGGCCCGGCAGCTTCATGTGCTTGCGACAGCATGTCACTAAAATTTATGCCCGGTCCGGACTCAGCTTTTTTGTCTTGCGTCCCATATCGATCTGGCCAGCGGTACTGCTTGGTTCAGGGCCGCGATATGCCAATAAAGCAGTCCGGAATCAAGTTTGTAGCAGCTACATTTAATTTTAATTTAATGGTTCTGTAGACCAAAGGACAAGTGGTTTAGAAAATGTATCCATTCTTGAAAGCATTATTTTCCCATAATAAATGTTTTGCCATTATATATCCTTTATGTTAGATTATATTATATTGCTAGGATTAAGGTGTTAGGGTTAGTGCTAAGATAGCGTCGTGTGACATTATTATTATGGGTAAATGTTAAGGTAGCCAACATGTTTGAGGTAATGAAGTGTGGGGGTTAATGATGGTCGTTTAGTTTACAGGTTAAATGGGGGGTGGGAGGGAGGTCTTATTGCTGCCTGAGCTTATTGGAAGTAACAGTCTTGGGAACAAGCTTAATTGCCAAGCAGCAGATGCCTCTCTAAAGTGTAAAACCCACTAATCTTAGGCAGACCATGATATTATGTCCAAATTCTACCATAGAGAAGAGCCCGCAGACTGCATAGAGATGAACCATGAAATACAAAGAATAATTGCACGGATTGAAGTTACAGAAATCTAGTATACGTGATTCCTAAGCATGATCTGCCTGTAACATATGCCAGAGTCATGAAACTGTACATTTTTTATTGCCACCAGAAAGATTCACAGCTTCCCCAAGGTATGCTGGCTGTGTGCCAATTGCGTAATCTACTCCGTTTCCACCAAAAATATTGATATTACCTTTATTAAATCCAAACTTGACCAGTCTATTTGGACTGCTGGTAAGGGATCTACACGAGTACATCTGGATATAAAGAGATTATTTTTGTCACAGTAAAAAAACAAGACATCACAAGAAAATCCCAAAAATATTTAGCAAGATAATCTCACACTAATCTAGATCCTCTAACTTTACCTCTTTACTCAGTATACCAATTCTAAAATTAAAACGGTAAGCACTATTAGCTGCATTCTTCAGTCTTGTCTTTCATTGGCTGAGTAGTCCCTTTTAATGGATACTATACTGCCAAGAATACAAAGCTGTATTCCTGGCACTATCGCTCCTCCTGGCCCCCCGGCCCCTGGCCCCTACTTGCAAATAAATGGTAAAAAAAGAACTTTATTTACTTACCTTTTCACAGCATCGTTGTCCCTCGGAGCTGGGCCGACGCTACGTCCCTCAACAAGCAGGGTCTAATGCTCAGCAAACGCGCACTCACATTAGGCCTCCCCATAGCAAAGCATTGAATCTATGCTTTCCTATGGGGGAAAAAAAAATCTGAAACTGAAGGTCCTCATGCAGAGCATCCGTTTCAATCCAGGATGCCCTCTAGTGAATGTCTGGTAGACACCCACTTTCTATGGAACTGCAATGTTTTACATTGCAGCATTAAGCGCAAAAGGGACATTGTACCCAGACCACTTCAATTAGCTGAAGTAGTCTGGGTGAGTACAGTGTCCCATTAAGGGCCTAAGAGAACATAACATAACCCATCCAGTAAAAAGGAGACTGAATGGCCATAAAGATGTTTGGGTTCCACTGGTGTAGATCGGTTATAGTCAATCCCCCTTAGATTGAGAAAAACCAACACTCTTATTATGTATTTGGTGCTCCTATGCTGGAGTGGGGGGTAAGGGATCATGGCAATTATAACAGTATTTAAGTTTTCCCCTGTGTACAAACTAAATAATTCTTGCAGTGCCAGCACTATGTAATAGCTTTTAGCTAAATTATACACCCATGCCATCATAATCACTTTGGAAAGTATATACCTCATTACATACAGACACACACACACACACACACACAGATGTGTAAAAGAAAGAACACTTCTTAACATTGCAATTTCTAAAGCATTTACAGGAACAACAAAAATATAGTTTTAGAAGCCAGTTTGCTTTTGCATTTCCCAGCAATCCATTACAGATAATTGGGGCCTGTTGATGTTTTCATTTTAACAGCAAACGGTCCAAGTGGTCTGTAAACTTCTTCTCGATTTACAACATCTAATACAAGGTTGTAAAAACTAGATTGATTTATTTAATCCTGTTTGCAGCAGAAAGGAGACTCCATAGTATAAATGTTATGGGCTTCGCCAGCAAATTTAAAAGAGGCTATGTTTCCTTCAGTGGGCAAGTCATTAAATAAGAAGTAAAAGCCCTACACTTCAAGAAAGTGGATTAAAAGGGCCCTGTAATTTTTTCCTTTAACATTTCCTTTCCTTATGCCCCTTGTATCTTACACTCCTTTCCTTGCAATTTGTTTTATTTATATTTAGGTCTGATCTCAAACCTTGGGCGCTACCATTTTGTTTTTCTGTGTCCATAAAGTCTGCAGTTTGTCATTTTGTTGGAGCTGACGGATTGTGAGTAAATTGAAATGGATATTTGTTTAAAGAACCACTAAAGGCACCCAGACCACTTCAGCTCAATGAAGTGGTCTGGGTGCCAGGTCCATCTAGGGTTAATCCCGCAGCTGTAAACCGCAGGTTCAGAGAAACTGCTATGTTTACATTAGGGTTAATCCAGTCTCTAGTGGTGCTAGAGGCGCTTCCGTGCTTCTCACTGTGATTTTCACAGTGAGAAGACGCCAGCGTCCATAGGAAAGCATTGAGAAATGCTTTCCTATGGACTGACTGAATGCACGCGCGGATGACGTCAGAAGAGGGAGGAGAGTCCCTAGTGCCGAGGGAGCCGAGCGCTGGAGAAAGGTAAGCGTTTAACCCCTGACTCCCCCTAGAGCCCAGAGGGAGGGGGACCCAAAGACCCTATAGAGCCAGGAAAATTAGTGTTTTCCTGGCATTATAGTGGTCCTTTAAGCTTCAGCTCCTGACAAGAATGACCATTATGGAACACCAACACACTATAAGACATTAAGCTCTACTATATGATGTTATAGTGTCACAGGTGCCTGGTGGGCACCAACTTACCTTTAGGAGTTAAACCGTTTTCAAATAGTTAAACCCTAAAGTTGGCCCTTCATCACCTCTCAGCATGGCCTCCCTCAGTCCTTCACAGTACAGACCTAAAAGGTATGCCTTGGTGGCCAGTGATAGAGCATTAGCTGAAGCATTCAACCTAGCACTGTCTGTACATTGTAAGTATTAGAAGAAACTATTACAAGCAATGGGTGGCTAGCGATAGGCTGAGAATTTAGGCTGGTGTTCTTCGCTTATCACTGGCCTCCAAGGCAAACCTTCACCTGGACTCTTTGGCAGCCAGTGGAGGAGACAGGAGCACAGACAGAACAGACAACCGGGAAACAACTTCAGGGTAAAGCTGTTTGAATAAAGTTTAACTCCTGAAAATAAGGAATTGACTACTATGTTCTGTCCCTACTGAAGGAGCTTTTAATATCCAAAGACCCATCAGATGCACACACACACACAGCCAGCAAACCTCACACACTACACACAGATGACACATAACACCCATTGCACACAGTCTGCATGCACAAACCCGCATTACACACTACACACAACTTGCATGCACGCAGAAACAATATAAGAGAACAGAGGCTAGAACACTCAACTCTACAAGTTCACAAATTAAATCAGAATGGAAAAATAAACAAAGGTAAAAAGTTGCGACCAAGGGTGTGTTGGAAAAGGTTTCCATTTCAGCTGCTTTTGTCTCGGTTTTTCCATTCGGATTTGATTCACGAAGTTTAGTGAACAACCCTGTCCACGTATCTAGGAAGTTGCCACCACAAATGACAAGGAGACAGGGTTACCACGTTAGTCCCTTGACTAAGCAGATTTTTTTCCCGCACTCCTGGTAACTAATAACTTTACAGAAAAAAAAAAAAGAAAAAAAAAAACTCACTAGGTACTAATCTGCAAACTATCACGGACCCCAGAAGTAGTGTACTCCACTCCATTTAAAGCATTGGCGTATTTGTTCTGTCACCACTAACACTGTTGATAAGCAGATAATGTTAATCTGTCACATTCTACCCACTCTCCCCCTCACCAACCCTACCTGGCAAACATTCCAATACTCCCACAATCCACAACTCACAGCAGCAAATTGTTACCTGCACACCCCGGGACAAGACCTACACAGGTTGACCACAACACCGCAAACATCTCGCATTAAATTCTCAACCAGTCGAAGGTTTGAAATGCAATTTCAATGTACCTATATCCTCACCCATTCACATTCCCTTTTCTTTTTTCTGTACCCTCCCCTACTGACCCCAAGATTTTTGGCTCAACGAACCTACATGTGATGTACACTTTGACCATGGATGAAACCCTTGCACATCTGCTCGAAATGTACAGCCATAACCGAATTGTTACCACTGTTAGGTGATGTTTTATGAACCACAACTGCACTCTTCTTTCTGTACCCCCTTCCCTATATCGCAAAAATTATAAAATTAATAAAATAAAGAATTATAAAAAATTCTGATATCAGCATCTACAATAAAACTAATTGTGTAAACCGTTTTCTGTGTTTGCTTTACGTAGATTTTAAATTTATATCTATAGAAGGTGTGTTGCTCCAAATGAAATACTTGAAATGAGCTCTGCCTGGCAAACCTCTTCCTAAATAAAATTCAGAATTTAGGTTCATTTAATAAAAGTTTAAAGTTTCCAGTGCAGCCCAACTTCCCAGCAAGTGAAAGCAGCATTGCCAGGCACAAACACTCCATATGATAAACAGTCAGACATGGTTACCAGTTGTACAGGCACAAGAGGTTTAAACAAAGATCAAGACTGATCAGAAGATAGGTCATTTTTCTCAACCTTCACTTGAAACTTTGATGATCACACGTCCATTGAAGTCTTATCCAATTCTTACAAGACCAGAGCCTGGGTTTCTACGGTTGTAGCTGGTCAGATCCAAGGTTCCATCAATGTAATGCAAACTCATTGAGGATCTATTGCACAGCAAACACTGTTGCAAACAATAATTATTTTAGCATTTGTGACTGTAACGGAACGCCTGGCACCCCCAACTGGGTACCTTCCGTTGACGGATGCTCCTAGTGCTTTACGAGGGCTCCAAGCACTCCACCAGACACCATAACCACTGCAGCTTGGTTGGGGTCTCGTCGTCTTCCGCCTACTCTGGACCCAAGACCAGGGTCCAGCTTCCAGTAGGTAGACCTTTTTAAATCCAGAGAGCAGGTACAAGCTCTTATCAGAGCTTAGTGATTATACCCTGGGGAGTATAGTGATTATAGCAATCCCCAGAACAATAATTAACACAGTAACACTCCCACATAAACATTAAAATCCCTGTGCAGTTTGTACAAATAGCCAAAGTTAAAGTGGCGTTCGAATTGTCGAACGCTGTTCGACTCCCGTCGTAGGGTTGAAGTGCTGGAGAAGGTAAAGTTCAGCGGTGTTCGTGCCGTCGCGTGTCCGGTTTGAGTTCCATGAACTCAACGACCAAACACCGGTGAACGCGCTCGACTAAACAAGATGGTCACCGCCACATGTTCGACCATATGAACGGCGACCACCCAGCCATTCGTCAATTAGCTGCGGTTAACCACAGCTCCTGGGAGGTAAACGAGGGACACACTCCACTTGTGTGGGGTCCGGCTGTTCGGTAGATTGAGACACAAACAAAAGCCCTTTCTCCAGTCTGTATCCCAGTCTAATACATGGGCCATAGTCCTGGGGCAAGAGGCTAGCAACCAAGCTACTCCAAAAGCTTGTGGCAAACTCACAGGAAAAAGTGAGTTTGTCACAGTGACCTATGAGCTTGAACTATGCTGGCCATTCATAATGATGCACATATACCAAGTTGAAAAGTAAATTCCATGTTGTTAGGCCATTTTACCATAAAATTGACCACAGTGTGTTGTATGTCAATAAGATAAGCATTTTTCTGCTATTCTAACTTAAGGTAGAGTTGGCCACCAGCCATTCAAACATAATGGTGGGATGTTTGAGACAAAGCAAGCTTTTTTTAAACTATGGGTTAAAACTACCAATAGTAAAACCCCCCCAAAAAAATTGCAGACAAACTACTGTCCAATCATTTTGCCAATTATTATTCTGGCATCTGACTGTCAAACCTGCTGTTGGGGCCACCACGTTGACATGCCCATAATTAGCATCCCTGGCTGAATGCCTACCCGTACAGGGATGTATGTTACTGTGCAGTTGTGCAGAAAGAACACTGGCTGCCGAGTAGGGTAGTCAATCAGGAGTTGCCCATATGCTAGCCACTACTGAAACACTAGTGCAAAAGTGCAATTTAATACATTATATGTTGGGTACGACGGCATAGAAACACACAGTTGCACATCACATTGTCCTGTTCTCCAGACACTATTACAGAGCTGCTTTTCTGTGTTATCAGGAGGACTGCTTCCATGTTGTGTGTGACTTAACATGACTCCTGGAATAACATGAAACCAAAGACAATTATAACAATTATGCTTTCAAAGTTATCTGCGGAATGGCCAATCATAAATTATTAATCCATGCTAATGTGCTCTTTCAACACTAGTTCTTGCATGGGATATTTCCTGCACATCTTTTTTTTTTTTTTTTTTTAAATATACAATAAGAGGGGAAAAAATACACTGATTATCAGTCAACAGTTATCACCCATAAAAACACTAACTGAAAATATAATTCATATGCAGCCGTTTAGCACTGCCTGCCAAATTACTTATTCGATCAATTACCACATTTATATGTGTCAAATATTAAACATTTTATGTAATAATGAACATACCAAAGTAATGTACTCCACAAAAGTATGCATTCTTACATTATAATCGCCTATGTAAGGGTAATAGTGGCAACACTTAAAAATAAATACAAATAGTCAGACGTGTAACAGGGAGAACTTGGTTTTGGCATGTCATTGCAGGTTAGTTTTCCTTTATTTATTTTCTATTTATTAACTTATTTAATTCTTTGGGGGGGTGGGATCATACCAGTAAGGGTTACTTTAACAAAAATAGTGCTTCATTAACACACTGTTTTTTAGATGGGAGTAACCCTTTAAATAACAGACATTTTTTATATTATTCACAACTAATTTAACTTTTAAATAGGCATGGGTTCACATCAACTTTTTGGCAATGCAATAATTTATCTGGATTCTCCCAGTAATTAGATACTTGCAGCTTTTCAATTAAAACATCAGACTGCACCCAATCAATGAGCAGTGTTTACAGCCCCAGCAGTGTCTCTGGGTACCCGAATTCCAATTACAGGAAATACAGGGATAGGTTTTGTCAGCATTAAAGGACCACTATAGTGCCAGGAAAACATACTCGTTTTCCTGGCACTATAGTGCCCTGAGGGTGCCCCCACCCTCAGGGTCCCCCTCCCACCCGGCTCTGGAAGGAGGAAAGGGGTTAAAACGTACCTTTTTCCAGCGCTGGGCGGGGAGCTCTCCTCCTCCGATCCTCCTCTTCTCCTCCCCGTTGGCTGAATGCGCACGCGCGGCAAGAGCTGCGCGCATTCAGCCGGTCGCACAGGAAAGCATTTACAATGCTTTCCTATGGACGCTGGCGTGCTCTCACTGTGAAAATCACAGTGAGAAGCACGCAAGCGCCTCTAGTGGCTGTCAATGAGACAGCCACTAGAGGATTAGGGGAAGGCTTAACCCATTCATAAACATAGCAGTTTCTCTGAAACTGCTATGTTTATGAAAAAATGGGTTAACCCTAGAAGGACCAGGCACCCAGACCACTTCATTAAGCTGAAGTGGTCTGGGTGCCTAGAGTGGTCCTTTAACCACACATTGCCAAACAGATAGAAGATGTGTGTTACGTCTTACTGCAACGTGAATAGCTAATCAAGGCTGAAAGGCTCTGCAATGACCAGATTAAAGGGACACTATAGGCACCCAGACCACTTCAGCTCATTCCTACATCCAAACGGACCTTTGGTCCGGTATCTGACCCTGGACGTCCTCACGCACAAGGACATTCAGTGTAAAATTTTTCCCTATGGGATGGAGGAGGCGGAGCCGCAACCAAGCAGAGAGTGACATTGGCAACGGGATCGGGGTAAGGCCGAGGGAGCTATAGTGCCAGGAATAGAGTTTTGTAGTCCTGGCACTATAGTATCCCTTTAACCCCTTATATTCCCTTTTATTCCAGAAGTTTGGTCCTTAAAGGGTTAAAGATTAACCTGAAGTGAGACCTGGACCTGATAGAGTAATGTATCACAGTCCCATGCAAAGAAGAGATCTTTACACAGATATGTGGGTAGCATCTGTGGATGCAGTACATTTTAGTTATATAGTGCCAGCATATTCTGCAGCACTACGCAATTGATTACAAGACTGAAAAAGGTATGTTAACATTACAAAATAAAATCTAGGAGCTCTTTAATCTGGAAGAGACCCCCCCCCCCCTCTCAACACCACCTTGAGGCACAAAACAAATAAGTTATTATTCTCCATACTTCATGCCATCAATTTACATATGCTGCTAATCAACAAGGATAATTAATGTAGGAGGATACGATGGTAGTCTGCCATCAGATTACGGACAACGCATTTCACAGTTCTGTGGACCTCATCTTGACACTCTAGTAGAGGAAGAGCGATCCCAGTATATCGAACAAGTTCACATTTATAGCAGACTGTTCCAAGATTTGTTTACATTTTTTTGTCTTGCAACAAGATGACCAATAATCAAGACAATTTTGTTAAAACTGTGGTTCGAAGAAACATAATGTGACGGCAGATCCAAACCATTTAGCCCATCTATTTTGCCCAATTTTCTAAATACGCTCATTAGTCCCTGGCCTTAACTTATAGCCAGGATAACCTTATATCTATCCCACGCATGCTTAAACTCCTTCACTGTGTTAATCTCTACCACTTCAGCTGGAAGGCTATCCCATACAATGTTTCGACCTACGCAGAGGCTGGTCATGCTTGGGTCTAGAGCACTTAATGTAGGAGTGTGGTATCCTTTTCTGTGTGAGAGACCTTAGGACTAGATCTGGTAGGAGTTAGATAGGAGGGTGGCTGTGGACTCCACTCATGATTACCATAGCTTAGCAGCAGGGCCTGCAATTTGAAATCCTATGCTCACCAGTAGTAATTTTCTACTCGCCTGAGCTAGATTTCCACTCACCAATGGCTAGTGGAAATTTTGAGCAATGGCCTAGCAGTCTTTAATATCTTATCTGATGTGTGCAGGAGTCTTATTTCCTACGTATTCGGTATGAGAGACAAATCTCTTCCTCTATTTCCCTTCAGATGTATATAAAATAAGAGGATGCAATACCATAACTCCTAGTATATTGAATAATACTTCCAGAGGATACTGATGATATAAAAAAAAAAATATGGTGCCTTTGATTTTCACTGTACTATAGAAGAATTCTCCATAACGCATACCAATATTTACCTTTAGATAGATTTTAACAGGCTAGAACAGACCAAAATAGAAACAGTATATCCTTTGGGGAACCCACCCGTGGGAAATTATGTATAGTCTTCCATATTCACAATGCATACTTGCAGGAAGTTCTGCAACATGCTATATAACTACATTGGTATATGAGGCCCTAGTGTGTGTTCTATATTCACAAACACAATCTAGCACCAGAGCTGCTGTAGAACAAAACAAAGAAAAATATATATGATTATAGTGTAGTTAATAAATTAGAATTTATTAAAATTATTTAAAATGCTTTGAAAATGTCTACATGCATTAAATGAGAGCATGATAAATACGTTTGGCACAATGCCGAAGAGGTACATTATAAAGGTCATGTAGCCCGGGGTAGGCCACAAATCAATTTTATAGTATAGTGAGGAGTCATCTAAATGCCATTTTTGTAATACATCCTTACTTTAAAAATGAAGTCATAAACAAGCCGGACATTTAAACATTAAGAGCAGGACCAGCAATGTGACTTCTACAAGCCACTTTAAAAGACCCAGCCAACATGTCAAAATACTTGGTTGTCATAACTATTCCCAATGCAACATATCCAGATCCAGCACTGAAGAAAAATTAGAGATTCTTAACCATGTAAAGCCATGCAGAATGTGTTGGTGATTTATAAATAAATAATAATACAGGTTTTAAATAAAAAAAAACAAAAAAAAATGTGGGAACATGGACTATAAGCAAATATGAAGGATTATTCATGCCTCGCTACATTTTGTTCCTATACATCCAACTTGTTCTGCTAATAGTATTTGTTTGTAAGTCTACCACTTGCAAAGCACTGCAGAATATGTTAACGTTTTGCATAATATAATATTAATGTAAATTCAGACACATTTTGGGGGGGATAAAGCAGGGAGATAAAGTTGTGTGCTTTGGGGTGCAAATAGCACCACCACAAAAGTGCAGCTATCTCAATGATAAACACTGCACATACAGATCTCTAATACCATTACCACTTCTAAAAACACAAGCAGTGAGGGTGGTTGGAGAAACAAAAATAAAGTTTAATAAAAACATGTAATAATAAAAAGATTTTTTAAATCGCTCTCCACCCTTTTTGAAAGTCTATTGAAAAATGTTGGCCTGATACATCAAAGCAATATAATTAACAACAATGGATTTAATACCACTTATTAGTAATTGTATTTAGTAGATATTTTTTCAGGCCACAATATAGTGTTTACAGCTCTCAAATTTTATGAAAATATAAAAATATTTTACCCAACAATAATGTACTAAAACATTCTTTGCAATTGATTTCCATTCATTCACAGCCACAATCACAGATAATGGGATCAAGCAAAGGGTCATGCATTTCAGTACATGGAGGGGTTTAAATGCAAATGTACATTAACAAAACACCCCAAACAAGGCTTTGTCCACAAATAACCTAAATCACTAGAGTAGCCCAAATCCTCTTCTTCAATTCAATACATGGAGAAAGTCTCCCCCCCCCCACCCCACCCCACAGTAATCAAACGTTTGGCTGCTATCTAAATAAACTCATCAAATATTTACTAGATGCAGAACCGTTCAGGCTGGGAGAGCTGCCAAGAATAAGAACATTGAAGCCTGTAGATTGCCCTCCCTTTTCTTGCATGGAGAACCAAACAAATTCTCAAGGAGAAAGGATATAATAAGAGATACTACGTGGTTCTAAACAAACGTGAAAGCGGGGAGGTATGTTTTATCATGCACAAAAAGAGGGTACATTTTTAATGATTTGTTTTTTTATAATTCTTTATTTTTGCAGTGCTTAGGTTTAACACACACACTTGTATTGCCACGACAGCAAGTACAAGTCGCTGAAACAATACATATTGAACAGTATCATGGCAATTATTAACAGCACTTTTTTTTTTTTTGCAAAGCTTAGTAAACAGTATGGTGAAGACATAGTTAACTAGCAGATAATACATTCTGCAATGGCATTCAGCGAGATCATTCGGCTGTAGTATGATAGATAAGCCTATGTTCAGTATGTGAAATAGATATAACACAGGAAAGCCCTTAAACAGCACTTTTTTTTTTCTTTGTGTAAAGCTTAATAAACAGTATGGTGAAGACATAGTTAACTAACCGTTAATACACTCTAAAATGGCATTCTGCAAGATCATACAGCTGTTGTCTGACTGATAAGCCCATGTTTAGCATTTGAAACAAAGATAACACAGGAAGGTCCTATGAAGCGTTAATCTGATAAGTGAAGAATGGCGATGCAAAGAATCTAGACTCATACCAGGGAGAGACAGTGTGATTTATGAGAAGAGCGACAGCAGGGCATGGAAAATAAAGGCATAGGGCATATGCTGAGTAGATGCTAGTTTACGCTGCACATTCAGGATTAATTGTCTGCTGGATCTCCGCTCTGTATCCTGCCATTGCTCGTGAGTTGTGCTTGCCTAACCCCTGCACCTTTCTGTGCGAGCTGTGTGTTGGGTGTCCAGCTGGGTGTGTAGCTGACAGAGAGCAAGCCAGGGGAGGACAGTCCCTATTTGATGCGATGGAAACATGCTTGTGTGAGTGTGTGCCAGCAGGCAACAGGTGGGACCTCTGTGTGGGGTCGTTCCTAAATTGAACTGTGTGATAATCTGTGAGCAGGGTTGCTATATGCTGGGCTCCACTGTGTGCTCACCGTAGAAATCACACTGTCTCTCATGTTCCTCTGCAACGTGCTGCTGGGCAGGTTATGTAGCAGGGCTTGCTGAGTCCTCCAATCTTGTGGCTCACCCGCCTCCAACCCGATGTTGTGAGCGGAGGCTTGATGGGGGGGCTGGTCCGGTGTACTCCACACTGCCAGCCCTGGGCTCTGCTTGAGCGACCGCTTGTGCTCTCGGTTCCGGTTCCACTTCTGGCCGGTAACGGGCTGCCTGGCTGATGGAGTGTGCTTGGGCTTAGGGCTGCGGTTCGAGGAATGTCCTCTAGGGGCTCAAGGCCCAGGAAGGCTGCTGCGGAGACCGGATCCAGGTTCCAGGTATGTGAGCCGGGTAAGCCAGGAGTTTGCAGCAGTGTGTGGCAGGGCACTGTTGTTGCGTTCCCATGTTGCGAGATGACAGGGCTCAGTGTATCTTGTTGCCCGCCAGCGGTTTGTTCACTTGCGTCTGGCTGGGGCTCTCAGGTTACCGTCCGCGCACATGGCACCCGCCATTTTAGGTGTGGCAGTCGGGCTCCCCGGCCTCAGTTGCAGTGTCGCGGTCAGGGCCACAGGGTGAGGACCGGGATCACCCCCCCGGCCTAGAGGGGGGGGAACGGAGCCGGATCCGTGCTGGTCTGTACCCGTGGCTGGGTTCCGTGGCGCAGGATAGTGGGGCAGCGGCCGTCCGCCCCACTCACCGCAGGAGAAGGCCCCGGTTGGGGCAATGTGTTTTTCTCCCCTAGGGGACTGAAGCTCGGTGAGCCAGCCTCTCCCCAGGTCCAGCAGTCTCACAGCTCTGGGTATCTGCTCTGGCGGTCTGATTTTAGGTGGTGAGGCATGATTTTAGAGAGTAAATTTTGTTTAATTGCAGGAGCTGCTCAGGCTTGCGACCGTCCAGCTCGGCGGTCCGGCCCCGCCCCCCCCATTTTTAATGATTTGTATAGCACCATCATTAACACCACAACACACAAACATTTAAGAAAAAAAAAAAAATCAATAAAAGTTATTTAGTTCAGCAGTTCTATTTCTATTGATACAGAACTTTAGTAACACAATGTTTTTACACAAGACCTTTAAAACCATTTGAGCAGGCCCCTCATGAATTTATTGTTCCTGTCAAAATTATTTGTTAAATTCCCCCTGAAAGGGTACTGGTCATGCCCCCAAGCTATTCATGTACCTTTGAAATAGCATCACATTTCATCTATACATTGTGATGCCTGATTTGATCGGAAATGTTTAGATTGAAAAAAAAAAAAAAAAAAAATAAGAATGTTTTTTTCTCCCACCTGTCCGTCAAATCTTTGGCATAGACCAGGGATAGGCAACCTTCAGCACTCCAGATGTTGTGGACTACATCCCTCGTAATGCTGGCAAAGTATCATGGGAGGTGTAGTACAAAACATCTTCAGTGCCGAAGATTGCCTATGCCTGGCATAGACTATGGCAAATAATGGACTGATAAACTGATAAGAGGGAGCAGCAAAGACCTTCAAAGTATTTGGAGCTGATTTAGGCACGTAAAAATTCTGATTACAGGTTCATTTTAAAAATATTGTAAAGTGCTGCAGAATAAGCTAGTTTATATATATATATATATATATATATATATATATATATATATATATATATATATATATATATATATATATATATATATGCGCTAATAATAATAATAATAACGACTGACAATTAATTCAAGAATATCCATTTTCGGTAATAAAAAAAAAATTATAAAAAAAAAAAAGTATGCAGAAACAGTGTGCTGCCAGATCAGAACCAGTTGTTCCATTTTCAAATCCCAACTTATTCTACCAACAAATTCAATGTTTCTATGTAACTCAGGATATGTCGATAAGCGGGATCATTAGAACTGAACATGAAAAAATAATAAACTACAAAAGAATGAATGCAATGCACACACTTTAGAGAGGAATGTTGTGACTTACATTATGCTAGGATTATTCACGATATTATTTATGAAAAGACATTTTATCTCGAACACGAACATCCAATGAGAGAAGCCCTTTGACCACAATGGCGGTGGTAGAAAGGAAAAAGAGGAGACAAAATAGAGAAATAGATGGCACTATGGGTAAAATATAGGTGAAAAATGAGATCTGAAATCATAAAGAAAGAGGAACGGCATGCCACAAAATTAAAAATACCTGTAATAGATTTCTTACAGAGACAAAAACACATTTGTTTTAACCCCTTAAAAACACGGCCCTGGAATAGCGTGGCGTCTGACCATGAATGACTGGTTCCAATCCATTGCTTCTCTATGCATTGTATTGGAGAAGAGCGTGGGAGATGTTCGCTTAAAGAGGAGCTGAAAACGAGGTGAGTAAACTTTATTTAACATCATTTTACACAGCAAAGTGCGGTGAACCGTGATCACAATCACTAAAGAAACCTATAGTCACAAAATAAGGATTATATTTAGGAATATAGTTTTCCTTTAAGGATACAAGCAATTTTGGCATGTGTGTCCAGGAGTTCAGTTTATTTTTGATAGTTACAAGTCACAAAGTACAATTTCAATGTGGAACGATTTTAGAATTTTAGAAGTATATTTGTCCAAGTGTACTAGCCATCATAGAAAACAAAATTGCCACACAACATTTTATATAAATTACACATCACAGGTTATTAACCTATGAGTAGTTCCACTTTTTTCCCTTTTATGCAGCCACTTAACTGCAAATCTCTTCTAAATATTGCAGTAAAATTGGGGGAGGGGAGTTTAGTTTTAACACAAGTTTTTTTCTTTTCTTAATATGTATTTGGTAAACACGATGAGCGCTGCTTCTGTACAATGCATAGCTACATCTTGGGTACACTACGATACCCCCAATATATGCCTTTGTTGTCATGTGCTGTGAAGCTACAGAGCCATACAAAAGACCTGACCCTTTCATTATTACACTTAGAATTTTGATAGATGGATTTAATAGGCCTGTGTCTCATTTGGGACAATATACAAGTTTGACAGGTAAAATTACCCCATAACTGAATAACATTTTGAAAGTAGACACTACAGACTCTCTCATGTTGTGTATAATGTGCTTTAACGTGCTTCCATTTCCCCCCCAGTTTATGTTAATGTTTGTGGTAGAATAAATTTTTGTTAAGCATATTCCAAATTTTATATTTGTGCCACTATAATTAACCTCCCAAAATTATACTCTGTAAACTCTAAGATATGAGCTCTATTCCAGTTTGTACAGTAAGAATTTTGATTGATTTCTAAAGCCTTTAATACATTTTGTGCAATTATAGCAATTTGACAGTTTAAATTACCCCATAAATGCACACCATATGTGAAAGGAGACACCACAGGGTATGCCTGTGGCAAATTTTGAGTACACTGTACAACCAATCTAGCACTAATTTCTTTCAAAGCATACAGGGGTTTATTTTTGTGTTTATTTACATGCACATTGCAATTTACCAGTTTGTGTGTGCTGCTGTAATAAAAAAGCACTAAATTGTGCTCAGCTAAATCTCCTAAGTACAGAGCATACACAGTTATTGTGAAAATACAGGTAAAATTTATATCCTGCCCAGTGCAGTTTTTTTCAGTTTTTATGGCACGTTGAAAATTGGTTTATGGTACATTTTGGGGCATTTTAGTAGCTTACGCATTTAAATTACTCCATAAACGTGGACACCACGTGGACTCACATATTATATATTCAGAGTTTTATTAAAAGGTGCCATTTTTATAGTATTACATTTTATTTTTTACATACACATTGTATTTTTTATATATCACACTCCCTCAGCTGCGGATCCACTGAAAAGGAACAATACACTGTAACAAGTAACATTTTATGGTCTGTGCTACACTTACAACGCTGTTAGACTGACACTTGTGGTAAAAGCACAAAAGATACTTTATGTGCCATCATAGCACAACTGAGATATGTGTATGTTTGCTTATATTAACACCCTACCTCCTATAGACTGTAGGCTCATTTGAGAAGGGTCCTCTTCAACCTATGTTTTCCTGTAAGTTTTTATTGTAATTGTCCTATTTATAGTTAAATCACCCCTCTCATAATATTGTAAAGCGCTACAGATTCTGTTGGTGCTATACAAATGGTAATAATAATAATGATGAAATTATCCAGGCAAGGGTCCTTAACACTAGCGCGCCCCAAACCCTTAAAGTGGAAGGTTTTTCACTTCTGCCTGCTAGCAGGCAAATAACTCTTCGTATTATCATACACTTGCAAATAAGTGAATGATAATTTTCAATTCCAGTGCTGTAGATTGGTTCGGATGAGTTCAGAATTGCAGTGATTTTTTCATCCAAACCAATGGTACAGAATCGGTCGGGCATTTGGCTTTAGTAAATATGAGAATTGCCAATGTGTCTGAATTCGAACCATGCACAACGCACAGGGCGATGGCATCACTGGTCTGTGCAGGGAGTGAGGATCTAGTGTTCTGTGAAAGTAGGGGAAAGATTTTCAGGTAATTTTACACATTTTTAAAAATAAATGTCACAGCGTCATTAAATGCTGCAAAAATTCTTACAATAAAATAAACTCTGGTGACAGTTGTCATTTGGCATGGCCCCCTATTTCTGCACATGATGCCAACACATGAGGATTTCTTATGTTAAACTGATTAATACAAACATTTTTCTTTTTTACTTGACCAATAAAACCAAATTCTAAACGCATATAAAAAAATAAAATTCAAATTAAAAAAACAGATATGGAACACAATATATATTCCTGTCTGTATAGGTTTTATAACCTACACATTAAGTAACAATGGGACATAGAATATGGACACTACAAATTATCAAGGGACCCTTCCTGATTTATATTTATAGTCGCAAATGTATACTGCATGAGTGAGTACAGGGCCCACAGAATATTGTTTTGGAATAGAAGACAGATGGTATACAGCTCCATGGTACCTTCTTGGCACAATAAATCGCCGGAACTCAAACGGTTTGGAAACCACTGAATTGCCAGAGATTTCCAATGAACAGCAAGTGAAGAATGATACCACTGCTAG